TAACAGATACCTAAAATGTGGAAGCCATTTTGAAACTGTGAATGGGTAAAGGCTGGAAGTGTTTTAAGGTACCTAATAGTAAAAGCCTAGATTGTCTTGAAGAGACTGTTGGTGAAATTATGGACATCAAAAGCAATTCTGGTGAGGTCTCAGAAGGAAGTGAGGAGAGCTGTAACACTGTAGATGGTGCAGATGGCAAGAAGCAGCAGCATAGAAATGGCAGCAGCAGAACCAGCATGAGACAGAGCAGGAGCAGACCCACAGAGTGAGAGAACTGAGCCCTTTCAGGCCAAAACTTATTGGCGTAGTAGGGTGCCTCTGGGCACTTATCAGTAGAGCTAAAGAGCTTTGCAACACTTGCCAGAGCAGAGCAGAGGCCAGGCCAGCCCAAGAGGCCCAGGAGACCAAGGGACCAAGAGGTCAAGAAACCAGGAAGCAGAAGATGAAGACAAGGAGCATGGGAAGCATAATTGCCTCAGTCTCAAAGGGTGGGTGCGCGACCTCTGAGATCTCAAAGGGTGGGGCCACAGCCTCCTAGGTTTCAAAGAGTCAGATCTTCACCAAGTTGGTTCCGGAGTGTGGGACTGTCATTCATGAGTGCCAGAGGAATGGGTGAGAGCCATTGTCCAAAGCTGAGGGGGTGAGGCTACCATGCTCAAAGGGCAGAAGAACGGGGCCTACTGGGTCAGAGGGAGTGGGGTCACCAATCATTTGGACTAGGAGAATGGGGCTGCACAAATCCTAGGGAGCAGAGTTGCTGTCCCAGTGGCCTGGAAGGCAGAGCTGAAGCCCAGGGGTGAGGGCCTTCCACCAGAGACCAGAGAGCATGGCCAACACCCAGAGTCTGGAGGGCAGGGCCATTGCCCAGATGGTCTCAGAGAACAGAATTATTTTCAAGCCTTGAGAGCTAATATAAATTGCTCTGCTGAGTTTTGGAATTGCTTGGTGCCCATCATCCCTTCTTTCCCTCCAATTTCTCCCATTTGTAATAGAAATGTCTACCTTGTGCCTGTTCCACCATTGTACTTTGAAAACAGATAACTTGTATTCTAGATTTCATAGATGAAGAACAATTTTGCCCCAGGACATTTTGGACTTGGAGTTGATTTAAGACTTTTGGGATGATATGATGGGGTAAATGTATATTACATGTGGCAAGGACATGAATTTTGGGGGGCCAAAGGGTGGAATGGAATGTTATGAATTGAATTGTATTCCCCCAAAATATGTGTTAACTTGGCTAGACCATGATTCACAGTATTGTGTGGTTGTCCTGCATTTTGTAATCTGATGTAATTATTCTGTGTGTTGCAAATCCTAACCTTTATGATGTTAATGAGGCAAGATTAAAATTAGTTATGTTAATGAGACAGAACACAATCTACAGGATTAAGTTGTATCTTGAGTCAATGTCTTTTGATATATAAAAGAGATTAAACAAGCCAGTAGAGAGGGAGGACCTACTACCACCAACAAAGAAGAACTGGGAGTGGAGTGCATCCTTTGGATCCAGGGTGCCTGTGCTGAGAAACTCCTAGAGGAGGGGAAGATTGATGACAAGGACCTTCGCCTAGAGCTGACAGAGAAAGAAAGTTTTTCCTTGGAGCTGGTGCCCTGAATTCAGACTTCTACCCACCTAAGTTGTGATAGAATAAATTTCTGTTGGTTAAAGCCATCCACTTGTGGTATTTCTCTTATAGCAGCACTGGATAACAAAGGCAACTACCTTGCAATAAATTAAACAAGCTTACAAACCTGAATATTTATTTATTCTTAAGATAAAATCCTTTATGACTTTTGGGTTTTCAGTGGTGGATTTTTCAGAAACAGATCACCAGGCCTTTCTTCTGAGGTGCCTCTGATGGACTTGAACCCCCCACCTTTTGGTTAGCAGCTGAGGACAGTAACCCTTTGTACCACCCAGGGACATTTATAATAATAATTACAATTTTCATTTATAAGTGATGATACAGGATATATGCCCGTTGATTGAGTTAGTATTGATTTTTTAAGCTACTATTTGTATACTAATCAGAATAATTTCATTCAACATTTTCTTCTCAGGATCTCACTTAGCAGGAAGAGGAGCTATATTTTCAAATGACAGATGAAAATACTGATGTTTTGACTGAGAATAACCATCAAAGCCCATACCTCAAATGTTCTTTTTTTTGGAGTAGGGGTCAGAAATTTTATTTTTGAGGTGATTCTGGTGTGAATGATTAGAGGACCATATCATAGGACACAATGATCTGTTGAATAACACGTTGTCTTAACATTCAATACAAGTCTTCACCATAGTCAAATCCATGCATATCTTTCTGCTGTATATTTTGTCTCTCTCCTCTCATACTCTGTGTTCCCTCATGATGATCTGTTTGAAGTTCACTGAGACTTCATACTATTTCATGGGCCCCACCTTTCACATTGTATTTCTTCTTCATGACATCCCCTTTACCTATTTGTCCAACTGGTGGTAAATGCTTAGTGGTTCTCCAAAAACAAACAAACAAAAAATCCCTGCTTTGAAGCGTTTATTGATTTCTGTGGTATAGATACTCCCACCATGGCTGGTTTCAAACCACCTACGTGACATCATTGAACAGAGTTGGGAAGGAATGTGCACACTTGGCACTTGGAAGTTGGTGTGAACTAGATCCAGAACACCACTGTAAGTGACCATTATCTTTTATCCTTTCATGAAGCCTTCCTCAATAACTCAAGCCTGTTTTTTGCACACTTAATATTAGAAGTATCACATTCTCTCATTCATATTTTCAAAGTTCTTTTAAATAAAATAGACATTGCTGATTCCTCCATGTTAGAGTTGCCAGCTTTGGTAAATGAAAATACAGGCTGCCCAGTTAATTTTGAATCATAGATAAACAATGAATAATTTTGTAGTATGCATATGTCCTAAATATTGCATGGGGTGTACTCATCTGACAACCAAACTCCATGCCATCCTGGAGAAGGGGGTAACCATGAGTAACTAGGGAAGAGGAGTCTGTCTTTAGGGGATCTTAGCAAAAATAACAGTTCATTTGCTGCAAATGATTGGAAACTCTTAAATACTCTACATATATTAATCAAAAACTATCCATCACTTTTGGTTCAGAAAGATGAAAATGTACAGAGAAATGTAAAGAGGTTTACAAAAGAATGATTACAGAAAATAGGCCCTTAGAAGAATAAATCTTTTCACCTGGAAAAGGAAAGGGAAAAGCTCTTTTTAGAATTTGTCTCTTTGAAGAATCTTTAGATCTTTCCAGTTGTAAAATACATCTAGGAGCATGAAAGCATAGCCTTTTCAACTCATTTTAACAGATGCTCATTTCCTTGAAGTTGTTCATTTTAAGGTCTTCATTATAAGAAAAATGTTACAATTAGCTGGGGGCAAGCACCATCCATTTTTTTAGACTTCATATGATGCGATGAGAACATTTTATAACAAATTTCTCTTGTAATTGAATATTACAGTCAGGCCTGGTTGTAAGAAAGAAGAAACTCTACATTCAGTGTTTTAGAGGAAAAAGGACAAAAATAGATATTAAAATTGCAAGATATACATATTAGAGTTCTTAGTGGAGGCTTACAGTTTTTTTTAACTATCAGTGCAAAGACTTTCAGCTAATCACGGAGTTTTACCACTGTAAGATAATGTTAAAATATATATCTCTTACCTGCAAATTTTTATTTTTTTGCTTATACAAAATTAATGACTTGGAGCTGAAGTTTTAGGAGGCTGAATGTATCATTTGTTCCCAATGAATTCTGATAACAGAAATAAACAAACTTCAAAGGAAATATATCACAATCTCTTTCTTCTTAAAAAAACAAAAACAAACAAAAAAACATACAATGGGATCCAGGGCTTTATCCCTGAAAACAGACCAGATTTTATCAAGTTGGAATCTTTTGCTTAATTTTTCTGACTAGGTCTTGGAATTATTAATGGCAGTACTAAACTCTAGAAAATGAATGTTTTATAGTTCATGACAGATTTCCTAGGAATACAATCCATAGTCTTAGGTGTACACTTCACTTATTTTTTTTAAGATAAAAATCATAGACATATAATTCCATGCTCTAGTGCAGTGGACCTCACCTTCCGGTTGATGCATTTCTCACAGCGTAATAGACCTTCTGAGCCACTACTGTATTGCTCCTTTTCTGACAACTTTCCTTTTGCAGAAAAAAAGAAAAAATCTCCAGCTGTCTTCTTAAACTAGCAGCAAGTTTCCAAGTATTTTTTGTCACATCGAAAGAATAGATCCAAGTGGAAAATACACATTTAACACAGAACATCCGCAGTCAGAAGATGTCACGTGCCGCTGAAATTGCCAAGGAAAACTTGTAGATATTTAAAACGGAGAATTTTTTCTGTTGGTATTTTGAAGCAGTTTACAGATAAAATAGACACTTCATGCTGGACCATTGAACGTGAGAACTGTAAATTTTAACTACGTTGTCTAATAAATGCCCCAACCAAGTTTCAGTAGAAGAAACCAAGGCACAAGAGTTCGAGTGACTAATGAGAGAAGTGAAAGCAAGCTTTATTTCCTGCTGGTACCCATCGTGGATGGTTCCCAGTTCCCTTTTCTCATTAATAAGTAACCTTAACATAAATTAGGAACTGTTGCTTCACTCTAATCGTTACTTCTTTTCATGAGTTAAGTAAGAGTAGGGTACTACACAACGTAAGGATTTATTGCTAATTGTGTGAATATAATAGTAAAAGAATTAGAGTGTGAGCACAAAATAAATTAGATGAATGGAAAGAAATTGATGACGCATAGCTCAAGACATTTAAAATAAAACCAACCTAAAGGTAGTATGTGACCAGTGTAATAAGCTGAAGCAGAATCCACCAAAAGGAGTCGTTTTTATTATTTCTTTGGAAAATACCATTATTCTTAAGGTTTCTTCTAGCTCCTAAACAATTTTTTAAGACTATGAGGCTTTTAAAAAGATTGGGAACTATAAAAGAGCTCTACAAATATTTTAAATAAAATGAAAACTGTATTTTAATATGTGCTTCCATATTATGTATATAAACATACAACACATTTAATGTCTTATGTACAACAAAAGATAATGATTGGATTATACTGTGATATATTCATATCAATTCCTTATAAAAAGCAGTCCAACATTTTAGAAATTCAGAGTAAATGCACTTCAATGAAAATCTGGGACAGACTTTAATATGGAAAATATGCACATGTAATAATACTATATTTCTCATATCAATGTTGAATTCTGTAGAAGTAGCTATATTATGCTTCATATGCAAATATTAATCACAGATAAATTTGCACTTCTATTTTAATCCTTTGGGTACATATATATATATATAAATATAAATAATATTTGTTTCTTTTAAAGATGTTTATTTAAGTTTATTGAATTTCACAGACATAATTTTTTGGCCCAAAACATTAAGGAATGACTTGCACATATTATACAGAGAATAATGTATGTTGCAAAATTGTAAACACCATGTGAAGATAACAAGATAGGCTCACTTGAAATTTTAAATTGAATTAAGCGAGCATGAGGAAATACTGTATTAAATGCCTATACACAGAGTCTAAGTTTCCAAATGTTAATTTAGTTAACTTTCTTGTAACTATGCACTCACACATTTATATGCCATCTCTAGAAGTAAAACAGTAAACTATAAGATATATATGAGTAGGACAATGAGGACATCTTGAGGTCATTCTAGAAATGTACGTGTTATTCTTACAGAGAGACCACACACTATTTATGATTTAGAAAGTAAATCTCTTAACCTAAGTTAACATTTCCATTAAAAATTGTGTGTTTTATCCTTCATGAAAACAAAAAGGCAAAGCTTCTCAAGAACATTTAGAGAGCCCTAGAAAATTCTTTTTTTTCTCTCTCCCACACACACACATACGTGCAAAGGTCGCAAATAAGCTGCTTTTGTTGAATGATAGATAAAATTTTAAAATAACCAACAGACTGTACAAAACTTTTCAGAAAACGATCTTAAATATTTTCCCACAATATTAAAAATAGAAGTTCCCCACAAACATTGGTCCAATGCACTGCTTTACTCCACTGTATACCTATTTTCCTCTCCTACTTCTAGAAAATTAGAAATAACAGCTAATAGGAGGCTTTCAGTTGCCTCATTTATGTCTTTTTCTATGCACTTTGGGTTAAAGCTGGACTTGTAGAACCATTGGCAGAACTTTCTGGTTCCTCAGTGCCACTCATGGGTTCAGAACATTTAGCCTCTTTGTTTTCTTCCTGGGTTTTATCTACGGCATCAACGGGACTAATGGAATTCACATCTTGCTTTGGTTTGTCCACTTCATTATCAAATTCAATTTTATCTTCTTGTTTGTTGCCTTTCTTTATTTGTCCATTCTGGGCAGGGTAGATGCTGGCAATGATGTCATACAGGAATTGGTATTGCTCCTAGTAAAGGAAAGAAATCATATGAAGAAAGTTTACATAATTATTTTTGTGTCAGATAAAATTAGCAAGAACTAATCACTGACTTGTGAAAGTACTGGATGGCATAAAGCTACTCTGATATATTCTGATATAAAGAACATTCTGAATGGCTTAGTCTCCTTACAGTTCTAAAGGACTGACCATGGAGTACTATTCAAAATTTGCCTTCTAACAACACCAAACTCGTGTCAATTCTTCTCGCTTGCCATGTGGTTTCTCATTTCCATTCCTTTACTCATGATGCCACTTTTGCTATAATGCTTATCCTCTTGGCTAATGCCCACACATCATTTAAGAATCTGAACAGGAATCACCTGTTGATTTAAGTACACTTTTCTGTTATTTCACGTTCTACATTATGAGGTAAATATCTGGCTTTTCCCACACTAAACAGTGAGCCCCTTGATGGCAAGAGCAGATAGTAGGCACTCAGTGTATCTTTTAAATCAGTATGTGCCAGCTCAATGTGATACATAATTAAAAGCTGCATACATTTTAGTGAGTGATTAAGTTTATATTGTGAATAATTACTAATTTCTAGACTATCACCTACAGTTGCTACCACTTATAGAGACTACATAGTAGTATGATTACAAAAATGCCACATTTATTACTCTCCCTGTATCTACACTCTGCAATGTGACTTTACAGCCCCTTTAACAAGAAGTTGCATCAGATCTAGGCTGGCCTTGTGATTTGTTTGGCATCTAGAATGCAGAGGAAGTTTTGTGCCAGTTCCAAGCCTGGGCCTCAAGAGGTAGGTCTTACACACTTCCATTCTCCCTCCTATATGTGAATATGCCCAGCATCCTGGATGGAAGGGAGACATTTAGCCCATACGTGGCTGTTGCTATAGCTAAATGCAAGCCAACTCCAGCCGACAGGCAACTGAGCTCAATTTAGACAAGCTAGACCCCAGGGGAACCATCAGCTGATGGCATGCATATGAGTGAGCTTGGTGCAAATTGGCTGAGCCTTATGAGACCAGCAGAGCCATCCCACTGACCAATATTGAACTATAATAAATGTTATTTTTTAAGCCACTAAGTTTTGGGGTCATCTCTTATACAATAATATTACTTGATGTGGAATTCCCAAAAATAAACCAAACCCACTGCCACTGAGTGGACTCTGACTCATAGAGACCCTATACGAGATATGGGATTAAAGGTTAGGAAATTCATGAGCGTTTTAAAAAACTGAGAAAATATTTTTCATGATCTACAACAACAAATTTCAGGCAAACTCTAGTTAATTATTTCTCATTGATATTGACAATAATTCAATATGAATTATCATGTAAAAAATTGAAGCAAAAAAAGAATAATAGAAAAGAAAATCAAAGAAAAGAAAACTGCCAAAGCAAAATTGCAAAACATGTTAAAAGCAATGGTGAAGTATACTTACAAAGGAGGAAACCATTCCCGGCCTTGCTCTGCGTAGAGATTTGACTACTTGAAAAACGTCTACCACCTCTTCTGTTTCTGCACTTTCCAGGAGATTTAATAAGGCACAGAATAGTCCTGTTTGCTGAGATCCATCCCTACAAATGGAAGAAAAGGGGAAAAAGGAAACATAATTCTACTTTTGGTGGAGGAAGTAGTATTTGATTAAAAATTGAAGTAGAGAATATTTTCCACTTCATATTTACAATAATTATTTTATTCCAATATCTTTAAAAGCCAAATTACTTATGCTAAATCCATCCTTGGACAAAATTTTTCAATTTAGAAATATAATAATCTTACAGTTTAAAAGATATGTGTCTTAGGCTTTAAAAATGTACTTTACTCTCTTTAGTACTTTATAGATTTTAATGCCTTTTTATTTACATCTGAAATTGTTAGGTCAAATATCTTAATTCCAAATTAATAAATGAAGATACTGAGACTTAGCGCAGAAAATGACAAGGTTAGAAAGTGATGGAACCAGAAATATTAGATTTTATATTATGTAAATTACTAAACATTTTTCTCCTTCTCTTTTCTGCCTCCCTATCACTTTCTGCTTATGTTTCCACTTCTGCATCAGTAGGAAAGTGCCGCATGATGCAAATTTTCATTAGAAACAGGTCAACAAAATGATTGATCAAACTATGAGAGGTACGAAATGTTACAATAAAGCTTCAATTAAAAGAATACGTTAGGAACAGGATTTTTTATTCATTGAACAAAAATTAAAGAACATATAGTAGGTACTCAACCATATCCTAAGAAATGCATGTAGTTTTAAAACCTAAATGCCCCTTCTTCAACTTTTTTCCCAAGTAAATTTCACCTTTGAAAACTCAAACAAATGCTAAAAAGTATATTTCTCTAAGAACTTGATTCGAGGATATGTAATTCCAAAAGTAATAGTAATGAAGCTTTCTCAGAATTTCTAAAAGCATTTCATTAGATTTACATTTCTCATTTTACTTTAATATTTCCACGTAAATGTTTTATATTATGCATCCTTCTTTCAATCTCTTATTGAAGGTGAATATGTATGCATTTTACAAAGAAGTTTAAGAATCTGAATAACAAAAAACTAATAAATCAAGTATTATTATTTATATTATTCAAGTCTTTTCCTTTGGAGTCAGTTTAGAAAAATTAAATGATAGGTTAAAAATCAAAGTTGCTAACCATTGAGATTTCAGTTAATATGTAGTTTAAGATATGTTTACTGAAGGCAAAGCATTCAGTAACACCTCTGGACTCTATAACATCTAATAGAGTGGATCAATGCATATAAGCATGTATTAAGTATCATATGCATCCACCTATTAGTCCATAGATCCTTCCATTCATTCATTAATTCATTCATAACACATTACATTCCAGGCTCAATCTCAGGTACTGCAGAATCAAAGATGATATGATACTGAGTATTGAGGAACTCCCCATCTAAACTTATTGCATTATAATATAATAATATCTATTATATTTCTAAAACAGTTATGCTATGAAACTAGAAGTGAGAGAGCGATTACTCCATAAGAGACTTTGACTGTGGTCATGTGTTTTATATAGCAGGATAAATAGAATTTAAGAGAAAGTGTGAACCAGGACAGCAAGTTTACGATGAGTTTCAGAGCATATGTTATCAAACCCCACCCACCTGCAGTGAATGAGGAGAGGCACACTCCTGTGGTTCTTATTCCCTTCAGTGGATTTCTTCATGGGAAGTTTTTGTCTGAGGCTCTGAATCATAGAGATTAATTCTTTGGGTTCTGCAGGAAGTTCTGCATTCCACTTATTATATTGATACTGATACACAGTTCCGGTATCTTTCCTCTAAAATCAGAAGTAAAGGGAGAATTAACTCCAGCAAAATTCAGTCCATTACGTAATCTGATAGTCACATTTTCTTCACAATTACTTTCATTTCCATCATTTAAGAATTTTTTTCTGAAATATTATGTGGCAATATTATCTAGTTGTTTGCTTTCATCGAGTAATTTGTATTAGTTTTGCTTCCAGATCAGTTACATCAAAGATATATACTCCTGAAATTATTTATGTACCTTGCCATGTCTCAGTTCAAATTCACGGAGGGTGTAAGCTGAAGACGTGTTTGTGTCTTTCATATCAATTTCTATATCTCCATACGTCTGCTTTCCTTCTCCCCAGTACTGAGCACAGTTCTCCTAGATAAGAAAGAACATGGTTCAACAACTGCTGCACAAATGTTCTGCTTATTATTTAAATTATTTGGAGGACTTCTTCCATCTTTCTTCCTCTCTCTTTCTGTCTCCTCTCCCTTCCTATTAAATGAAAAGTATCATTGCATTCTAAAATTGAAGTCCCAAATCAATTTTAAGTTATTTTGGAGAATCATTTAACAAATACATAATGTTTCCTTTTGCAAGTAAAGGGAACCTGGGAATAACCAAGTTGGCCAGGAAAGTGCAGGAACACTCTGTGTTGCCTAGTGTAGGTCTTTGAGAATTGTCCCTCCCTTTCAGACCTTTATGATCACCTCTTTCAAAATCAATAGATTGAACTGATGACTGCCATATCCCCTCCACTGACTCATGTCTCACTGTAACTTCGGTGGTCCTTCAGGAAAGAGATTGCATCTTTTGGAGTTCTGCCTCTGTATCTTGACGGTCAGCACCATGAGCAGATCTATTTAAAATCACAGAATCTCTGAGCCGAGGGTCAGACTGAAGAATAGGTGAATCACAGAGGCATCTCTTCTCTCTGCAAACTCTTCTCCACTAACTACAGACCCACACTTGATGACACAGATAGACATCCATCCTCCCAACCCCATTCTATGCCCTGGGTCTCAAATTTAGAAGAAAAGAAAGATGTGCTGGCATTCCATGCTGGTAATATGAGTATATAACTCAAAAAAAAAAAAAAAAAAGCCTGGACTTGACAATAGTGGGTTTTGTTTTGGGTTGTGTACATGGGTAAAGAGCCAGGGAAAAGAGACAGACAGTTACAAAGAAGCAAAATAAACCATGAATCTTATTGCATGCTTATGAGGGTATCTGCTGAATAAGGTTGAACATGTTAGATACTGTGTTAGCTGCTAAAACTAAATGAAATCTAAGGCAAAGGAAATTTTAGTAATAACTCAAGGTGTTAAAGAAGAAATCAAATACATGTCACAGACATTACGTAGGGGATCAAATAAGATCTTTGGGTCACTTCCAACTATAGTATTTAATGGTAATAAATATTACATTAGTATAAAGAAGGAAGGATTGTTTTAGATAAAACTGTATAGAAGTTTTGATTTGCTAGAAGAATAGGATCACAATGGGAAGAGAGGAAATAGTCAAGTACACGGAATGTCACAAAATGCTCACAGATGTGAATGCAAATGGCTTGTTAAGACTCAGTCAGTAAACTTATTTGTCCAGAGTAGAGAGTGTGTAAACCAGAAAAATGGGTGAAAAGTGCTAAGATATATGAGGGCCCGATTAGTTAAGATCTTAAGTATCAGATTAAGGAGTTTGATTTTTATCTTGAGGAAAATAGAGGGGAAATGTACCTTTTTAGCAAGAAATGTCACTGGAAGTGCAATGTTGTAGATAACCTGTGAGATGAGTAAAAGACTGGAGAGGGGAAACCATGAGCGAGTGCCAGAGTCCATTCAAGAGATGATGAAGGCCAACACTTGGATGGAAGCAGGAAGAACATACACATGGCATTGTGTGTGAGAGAGAGAAAATAGACACTGGCATAGAGATCAAGAAAGTAATCCAACAATGGAGAATGATACTTATGACCGTAGGACAGAACGACTTTTTAAACAAAATTCTCGAAAGTACAAACCTGATCGCCAGTCTTCAGCTCTGTCAGCATAACAATAACTTTGACTTTTCTTTGGAATATCATCTGCCAAAAGTCACCAATGGTCTCTTTCAGTGGTCCCTGAGCAGCAATCATCATTTCAGGTTTCCAGTAACTCTTAAAATAATAATAATAATAATAATGAGACTCTCTGTTACTATTGCTAACTGAAGTGCGAGCAGTGGATTCTTAAAACAGCCATTTGGAAATACAGCCACTTAGTTTGATATCAGTGCTGCTACATAAAAATGTTAAGATTCTGAGGTCCAAGAAACAATGTGGTCTCTATATGCAAAATACTTCTTCAGTTAATGAAAATCTCTAGCTAATAAGGTACAATCAAGATTAGAACATATTACCTTGAAAAACTAACAAGTTTCCCTTCCAAAAAAAATATCATTTTCTTTAAAACGGTTTAGTGTAATCGTAAAAAGGAATTGCTTAAGCATTTCAAATTATCTTCATCATGTCTCTGGTTTAATTGTTGTCTTTACACTCTTACAATAGCTTTCATAATGAGTAATTAAACAATGAATAATTAAAGTAATATTCTATTAATGTGTGTTTTAGATCAATTTGGAAAAAATATAAATCCAACATAGTATATACGCAGTGTTTATTGATTAACTAAAGGGTCCATGTTTGAATTCTCAGTAAAAAAAAAAAAAAATTTACGTGACACAGAGCCACTTAATTATTCAGGTAATCTGAATGAAAAGTCTTGAACTAAACAGCGTTAAATCTACAAGTTTAGACTTAGATGCCTAAGTGTAAACATTTTCAAATATTTGTATGTTCTCAAATTTTGTTTTTTTAAGTTAATGTGGTTATAGTCATATATGTCATAACATATAACCAGTAGAAATGTCTTGTTTTATATCAATTCATTAGGTTTTGATATAGTTTAGTCTTTTAATAAGTTAAAATATAAAAAAATTGAACAAAACGTTCAAGAGTCAGTCAACATATAGTCAGGGCTAAGCACATCATTCTGTTACAAATTCTTTAATGAATAGCCATAATAACATAGATCTATTTATTTGAAAGGTCAGATCCTGAACTTTGGAAATTGAAGTACCTACCATTATAAAAGATGCATTGACGTATCTGCTGGTTTCCTCGGAGTCACTGTCATCCTCAGATGATTCATCTGAATCATGCTCACTCTCTTTGCTCATTTCCAGTTCATGTTTAAGTGGCACTCTGTTAAAGTCATCTATGTGAAACGAATTAGTAGTGAGTCTTACTGTAAAAAAATCAAAGCTCTGCTTGACTGTCACATGAAAATTAGGGGGAGGAAAGGAATTTAGAAGTGATAGATTACATTATGTTGCTCTTTGATTTATTGATCTACGTAGAATGACACTTTACGTGAAATTGAGTATCATTGACTAACAAAATATCTTTTTAAATCTAAGGAAGAAAAGTACCTAACAAGGGGCAGAAAAAACATGAAACATAACTCTGTTAAAAAATCGATAGATACCAATGATGTTCTGTCTGATTAGTCAATCTTTGATACATTAAAACAAAACTTGCTGCTGTTGAGTCGATTCTGACCCCCAGTGACCCTATAGGACAGAGCAGAACTGCCCCATGGGGTTTCCAAGGAGCAGCTGGCGGATTCAAACAGTCGACCTTTTGGTTAGCAGCCAAAGGCATAACCACTGCACCACCAGCCTCCTCTCTGATACATACACATTAGTTTTCCATGAAATATCATCATTCTGATAGATATGTTAAAAAAAAATACTAGCTTAGGTTTTCATTCCTCAGCTGTATCCTAATAACATTAAATTGATAATCTTAGTTAAAGAGATGTCTCGGATAAATTATTATTTAGTCCAGAAACTTATTTAGCCCATAATTTACTACAGTTTCTTAATTTTTCAATTATAATAACCTGGCCAGATGATATAACTAACTATACCACCCTCAATTTCTTATTTTAAAACATATTCATAAAAAATTCTGCAGAAATTAAGTAGGTCAACTATACACTGATTTCATTGGATTTGATTATATAATTTATCAGCATGGGTTATATTTTTCTATGCTATTTCTGCTGCTTGCCACTAGATAAATTATACCCATTGCCGTCGAGTTGATTCCAACTCATAGTGACTCTATAGGACAGAGTAGAACTGCCCCACAGAGTTTCCAAGGAGCGCCTAGGTGGATTTGAACTGCTGACCTTTTGGTTAGCAGCCGTGGCTGTTAACTACTACGCCACCAGAGTTTCCAGATAAATTATAGTTGTAGTTGTACCAAATGGGGTTGTGTCCGTATGCTCAAACAGTAGAATTAAGACTTCAAAACTGCAACTTTTGATCTGTTAAATTTCAATGATTACTTTTTAAAAAGTATCTATATAAGACCAAAGCCTCAACAGCTATTTTAAAGCATAGATGAGAAGGCTGTGGGGCATGGAGATTAAATAAATCGAAGTGAAACAACTAGAACAGAAATAATAAGAATCTTGACAAATGTGAAGAATGTAACCAATGTCACTGATCAATATGTCTAGAAACTGTGGAATGAGAGAGGGTTTTGCTGTGCATATTTTTAACAAAAATAAAATAAAATAAGAATAAAAAAAAATTCAATGATTGACAGTTTACAGAATACACCCACTTTCAAACTCCCAGATATAAAGGAAAGAAGAGAACAAAAGTATGTAAGGTTTTGTATTTGGAAATTATCCTGGAGTAAACAGCTGAAATAAACTAAAGATGAGAGACAGCTGGTAAAGGCAACTTGGCCTTTTTTCTCCCGGCTGTAGAGATTTCATCTTTCTGAAAAACCATTTTGGAAATAACAGGTAGAAGAAAAAACAAAATAAAACCCACTGAATACAGTCTATCTATGACTCTAAAGTCCCTGGTAACTGTTTGGGGTTCAAAATATTTGCTGTAAGTAAAATTTAAATAGTCTGTTAACCTCTTCCCCACGGTTAACCAAATATGAAAAACTTGCTTCAAAGATAATTTTCCTCATATTAAACAAATCCAAAAGAGAGCTTAACTTTATCTGATGTAAAAGTAAGGTAAAATAAAATACATACATGGAATGATGTTAGAATTCCTGTTTTTGCTTCTATTTTCTGCTTGATTTCCAATGTGCTGTGTCCTCCAGCTCCTATATGAAGGAAGCCTCTGAAGAAAAAATAATAATAATAATGGAAAAGTCCTTAAGAAAAAATTTAAATATTGATTATTTTATTGTGATATAACATGCTTCCTCATAAAAGTATTTTGTCAAGCTCTGTGAAATTTATAGGTCACCATTTTAAAGTTTACCTCTGAATTCTTCTTTTTAGTCTCTTAGCCTTTTGTACGCTTGACATGATTTTGACATACAATTATATAATACAATATGCTTCCTACTTAAGAGCTGCTGGGTATCAAAGTAATTTTTTGTCACACAATTTTAAAACACTATACTAATGTTATCCATATTGCAAAAAAGCAATGGTAAATTATTTTAAATAATCAGAAATAAACTCTTCAGACACAGCATTCACAGAAGACAGGGCATGTGCTTCCAATAGTTGATACTTCGTTTACGCCTTCCAGACACGTTTCCTTCTCACTCCCAGTAGCTAATCAGTCAGCAAGACCTATCATTTCTACTGTAGAAGCTCTCAAATCCTTTTACTTTTCTCTCTTCCTACTTAGTCCAGTCCACTTCAGCAACTTCCCATCATTGTTAAGAAGCCGCCAATCCCCTTAACATAGCATAAGGGCCCTTGGGGATACACCCCTGACCACCTTTCAGGCTTTATCCCCTTCTAGGCTCCTCTTTACATATCAAGCTTGAGCCAAACCAATTTCCTCAATTCCTGGAAAGGGCCATGCTGTCTGCTCTCGAATGTCTCACAAGGGTTTTTTGTTGTTGTTGTTTTTCTGCCTGGATTACTCTTTCTCCTTTTGTCACTCTGCTAATTTCTACTTACCCTTTAGGTATCAGTCTAAGTGCCACTTTCTTCTGGAAGACCTTCTGCCAGCAATCCTCCCCTCCCACTAGACCCTAAATAAATATTTGTCAAGTGGATGAATAAACAGGAATAGCTCATCACAAACAACATATACAATTCAGTAACGTTACATATGTGTGTGTGTGTGTGTGTGTGTGTGTGTGTATAGAAAAAAGGGGGGAGGGGAAACAGTTGGCTATCAAGTTGATTCTAACCCCATGTGTGTCAGAGTACAACTGTGCTCCATAGCATTTTCAATGACTATGACCTTTCAGAAGCAGACTGCCAAGCCTTTCTTCTGAGGTGACTCTGAGGACTCGCCACTTGCAGGTCTCAAGTACCAATCTCTGTATCTCCCAACCTTATTTAGTTTTAGACTTAGCTAACTGTGTGGTCTTCTTAAGGTGGTCATCAGTCTTGGGTTACTTCACCATTGGGAAGAAGGATCTATCCAACATCACAGTCTCTTAATTCCTTAGCTTCATCACCTCCAATGACCTTTCCCTTCACTACTCAGCTATTCTACCCTCCACTTTTATCATTTTACCTTTGTAGGTTTTGTTTCGAAAAATTGCTTCATCTTTAAAATCATGATTGCAACCATCCCTGTCATTGACAAATACCCCCTAGTTTTCTCAGTCTTATACTCTAGTACCTTCAGTCTAGCAATCTTCAATCCAGTCAAAATCCCTACAGGTTGCTCACACTGCTTTCTCAATGTGCCTCATGTCCTTCATATCAACAATTCATGTGTTATTGTCCACCACTATAATTATTCATTTTCAAACACCCTCAACTCCTTTGGACTGCACTCTCAATTAGCCACTTTTCAAAATTCTAGATGGATTTAACCCAGCTATCTGCATACATGGAGCCCTGATGGCACTGTGGTTAAGAGCTCGGCTGCTAACCAAAAGGTTTGCAGTTCGAATCCACCAGCCTCTCCTTGGAAAACCTATGGGCAGTTTTACTCTGTCCGATAGGGCTGCTATGAGTTGGAATCAACTTGAAGGCAACAGGTTTATCTGCATACACAACATCTACCCCCAAAGAGCTTAATGCTACTGTAGAGAACAAGTCAACCAACTGACTGGTCTCTCCTTATAGTCATGACCATAAATTTCAAATAATCAAACAATAAACCATTTCTGACAGTCCTACTACCTCTGACCAGGGAGTTTGCTTTCCGACTTTTGAGGTAACTATTTCATACCCTTTCGCTTCATCAAGTCTTAAGCTCTTCTTACCCTGCTCAGTCCTATCCCCCTCAACTCTCAACAGATGGCAAATATTTATTTCTCATTATTTCTTGAGAAATAAAAGGCAATCATTTAAGAACTGCTTCAACTTCCCATCACCAAATCTACCAACCTACGTCCAACTCTGTCCTCTATTTCTGTGTGCCTTTCTGCTCAGATGCAGTTAAGTGCTGTGTTTCTATCAGAGTTATAGCCACTAGCTGTGCTCTGCATCCCATTCTCTCATGTCTTCTCTCTGTGTCTACTTGCAAATCACTTTGACTCTTGTGCCTAGAATTAATTACACTTGGCACAGAGCAGAGACTCAATCATTTTTGTTTAGTGAAAGAACTATTTCTTATGGTGACTATATGTAAATTTAATTTAATTAAATGTCTCCAGTGAATGCGTATATTTGGTTTAATAGGGTTAGTGTACCAGCTAAAAAAGCAACAAAGCAATATAATAAAACACCTCGCTGCTCAAGACTACCCTATGTCTTCTCATTCTTCCAATATAGGGCACTTCCAAATAGTGCAGGTTTCTGACGGATTGTGTTACTTGGTAATTGCATACTTCATCCCCTGCCCCTACCTCAGTCCTACTTAGATTCTAAACATTAAATGATTCTGCATCTGATTAAATGCACATATCTGGTCTTGTTTTGAAACTTCTGAATCGACCAGTTTGGTAGTTTGCACAAAGGCTCAGTAACCTGGAAATCATAGCTGGAAGACAAAAGTTACAAAACCGTTTAAAACAACAGAGCAATTTAGGAATCGCTATGCCAACTGTCTGAAGTCACAACAACCTACATCTTAAGTTAGCTGGCAGAGTAATTGCCTAATGAATAGGTTAGGACACACTTATTTATTCTTTAGTTTCTATCAGCTCCAGCCAGTTCAACTTCCTAAGCAGTCATAAACTCCGCTAATTATTTCCCTCACAAACTGAAACCAGATGCAGTTTTTAAGGGTAAGATACTACATTGCCTTTGGCGGCCCAATTTTGTGGCTATATACTACTATTTTGACATTTTATTTTATATCAGCTTAATGAGGAATGGTTTGAAGTACCGGCTGTAGAATCAGATTTCTGGGTTCAGTCTCCAATATAACAGTTGGGTCATTTCAGGTATTTCTTTTAAACTCTCTGTATGTTAGTTTCCTCCTCTCTGCCTCACTGGATTATGGGTAGGCTCAAATGCAAGAACTATGTCAAGTGCATAGTAAAGCACCTGAAAAACAGACAACACTCAATAAAAGGCAGTTGTTATTATTATTGTCATTGTTGCACTGTTATTACCTGGAATTCAGCCTCCAGTGGAGACGGCTCACTGGGAGGATCTCTTTTCTTCATGTTCTGTAGATATGGATGTAATTCAGACAAGCTCACTTCTGTCTCCCCAAACTGATTGTATTCCACCAAGGCTTGATGGATCAAGATGTACTGTGCCTACAATTTCAAAGGAAAAGACAAAGAATTTATGGTCCTATACATCACACTTAAATGTGTAGTCTCATAATTTTTCTCATATTGGGATAACGAATGCTTAAAGAAAATTGACATCTAGAACATTTAAATATTCTGGAGTTGGCTCTCACAGAGTTCTCTGGAATACGAAAAAATTTTATTTTTAGAAAAAAATAGCTTGCTAAATAAATTAGGCATCTACTTTGTATTGCATAGTTTTTATTCCATTCCTAACAATTCAAAAATATATCTGATTACTTTTTTTTACTATTATTGGGTCAGTAAATTACATTACAGATACAGGCATTTCCCAGTGTATCTGAGAGAAACAAGCAAACTGATATTGCATAGAATACACTTTTTAAAGTAGTTTTCTAGAAAATTTTTAAGATAAAATTGTTTAAATTAAAAAAGAATATAGCAAACTCAGATTAATAATTCCTAACTATTTATCATATTTGCATTCAGTATTTTTAAAGGAATGGCACATTTCAGATAAAGTTAAAACCTCTTTAACAACACCTCTACTCCCCTCAATTTGGCTGTATCCTTCCACTCTATTTTATTTTTTCACAGTGGAAATAGTTCCTTTTTCTCTGGTAACAATCTGCTTTTACATTTCTACATTAGCATTTATGTATCTATAAACACTGTATGTTCTATATGTTTTCTTAAAAAATGACATAAATGGTATCTTGTATGTTTCATTTGGTGACTTTATTCACTCATTGTTTTCATATCTGTCCACATCGATAGCCATATACCTAGTTTATTCCTTTTTCAACTGCTGCATAGCATTCATTGTACAGAAAGTCCACATTTTGTTTATCTATTCCCCTATTGATATATATCTAGGTTGTTTCCAGTGTTTTGCTATTCAAACAGTACTGGAATGCAGTGAACATTCTTGCACATGCTTCTAGTTGCACATTTGAAAGTGCTTCTCTTGGGTACATACATACATGTGGAATGGCTGGGGCAGGTATGAGCATTTTCAATAACAACCACTTACAATTACTGAATACATGCTATCTGCCAACGAATTTTCTAAGTGCTTTCCTTGTATTACTTTATTTGTCGTAGCCATCCTCTGAGGTAAGTGCTATCCTTATCTTTATTTTACAGATGACTTCACTGAGGCATGGAAAGATTAATTATTTTATAAGATGCTGCCAAATTGCTTTCTAAATTAAGCATTCCAATTCACACCCCCATTTGCTGTGTGGGAGCAGTTATTTCCCCATATCTATTACCAACATTTAATATTTTCAGAAATGTTCCCTATCGGATCTGATGTGTATAAATGGCATTTCATTTTTTTTTTATGGTGGTAAAAATGAATATAACAGAACATTCACAAATTCAACAATTTTTGCATGTATGATTCAGTGATACTGATTATATTCATCACGTTGCACCACCATTATCACTATCCTTTTTCCAATTATTCTATCACATTAACAGAAACTCAAAAAAAGAAAACGTTGGTTGTAATTTTCTGATAGGAAATAACTGAATTGATTAAGAATAGTAATCTCAGACTAATCAATAAGCAATAATTCTCCTTTTTCCCCTCACTCTCACTCTTGATACCCACTAATAAGTTTTGGTCTCATGTACATTTGCCTATTTTATTTAAGTGGGGTCATACAGCATTTGTCCTTTTGTGACTGACTTATTTCACATAATGTTTGCAAGGATCATCCATGTTGTGATATGTATCAGGACTTCATTTCTCTTTGTGGCTGAGTAATAATCCATTGTATGTATGTACCATATTTTGTGTATCCATTCGTTAATGGACATTTAGGTTGTTGCCACCTTTTGGCTATTATAAATAATGGTGCAATGAACACTGGTGTCCAAGTTTCTGTTTGTGTTCCTGTTTTCAATTCTTTTGGGCATACACGCAGGATTGGAATTGCTGGGTCATATGCTGGTTCTATGTTCAACTTTTTTGAGGAACCGCCGAACTATGGTATTCATTATTTTAAAAGTATATTTTATATTCACCTTTCTCCCACAGTACTTTCAGACACTAATGTAAAATTCTCCTAACTATGACTGGTGGCCTAAAACATGTTTAAAACTAGAACACGTTTAGTTTTCAAGAGATTAAAAGGAAACCACTGTCACCCACTGTTCGGAGTTGTGCAGAATCTGGGTTACTTTTAAGACCACTGTTACTGCCATGAACAGATTTACTGCAGAAAACAAAAGTGAGAATAATCACTAAATGTTAGAAGGTACCTCGACTTGAACCATCAGGCATCTCTGCCGCCGTAGCTTGACTACATAACCATAAATATCCACAGTGTTCTCTGCCTCCAGGCCCTCTAACATGGCGTCAATTCCAATATAGGTGCCTGTGCGTCCGACACCAGCACTGATAAAAAACAGAAAAAGCAGTGAAGGCATAATGGTGGCAGGGAAAAGAAACAGGAAAGCAGTCAAGGAAAAAATAGAGAAAACTATTACGTTTCTCCTTAAAGACTGTTCACCCAAATAGCAATTTCCACAGGGTAGGATGTCCCTAGCAGCCCAAGGCGGAAGGATTTGAATCGCCAGGCGATTGAGATTGGAGTTCTTTTCTTTACCTGCAATGCACGACAATCGGGCCACTGAAGAAGTTGCTGAAAGCGTTCACTCTCCGGCGCAGCTTGAGGAGCAGGTGAGGATCTTCAGGAACCCCATGGTCAGGCCAGCTTGTGAATTGAATGTGAGTCACCTCTCTGCCAGTGGCTTTTTCTTTTTTCTAGTCAAGATACAATATTTCCTTTATGATATTTATTTTTCCCAAAGCAAATTACCTGACATAACTAAATGGCAGGGGGACCAGTATAAAAATACGCCCCTTACAGAGGTAAAGCACTCCAAAGAGTTCTTAATTCCTCAGGCATCCTGCATTTTTTTCTTCAACCATAATGGTATTTTCCTTTCGAATTAATAGTAATTGAGATATCATGCAGGATTGGCAAGCACTAACCAGTAAGACCTGATGTCACAGTGGTTAAAAGCTCAGACCACTAACCAAAAGGTCAACAGTTCAAATCCACCAGCCGCTCCTTGGAAACTCTATTGGGACAGTTCTACTCTGTCCTATAGGGTCCACTATGGGTTGGAATTGACTCCATGGCAGTGGGTTTGGTTTCTTTAACCAGTAAGCAATAGATAAGTTTAGCTGAAATCCCTATGAACTCTCATGTCACCAAGTCAAAAAACAAAACATACAAGCAAACCAAAAAATGAGGTGGGGGGTGCGCAGCTATGTGTGTGTGTGTGTGAAAAGATATAAAGGAAAAGGTCATTCTCAGAGCTGACATACTCTTGCTTGGTAGGTCAGCAAACAAGACTACTGGTCACGTGAAGAAAGTCTAATTATTTGGTGAACGCTGTATTTCTTAGGCTCGCTCATATCAGAATCATCAATTCAGAATATAGACAGGGAACTGAGGAAAGTCAGTCCCAGATTACAGCTCAAGTTTGTCCCAATTTCACAGTAACCACCAGAAGATGCATAAGTCGTAATACTCTGACCAGATATGAAGATGAACCACCTACATTTGGATGACAGGAGAAACAAAACACTTTAAAAAGACATAAAAAGGGAAAAAAGAAAAAAAAATGTTGGTTGTAATTTTCTGATAGGAAATAACTGAGTTGATTAAGAGTAGTAACCCAGACTAATCAATGTAATGTTGATGGCATCAACCTCTAGATATCCACCCATGTCTATGGATTGGGAGCCCCCATGGCTTAGTCAGACACCTATTTAGCCATGAACCACTCGTGGGATTGTTCCACAGCCCCTCCACGGGCATGTTCTTGTTAGGTGCCATCCAGTTGGTTCTGATTAATAGTGACCTTATGTACAACAGAAAAAAACACTGTCTGGTCCTGCACCATATGCATAGTAGTTAGTAATTCCACAGGAGCCTTAGAAGCCCTTAGGTGAAATACAAAATGGGTCTATTTTTTTTTAATAGAAATTTATCTGGACCATATAGAAATAAAATTTAAATTACTGAAAGCCCTCCAACAACTGGAATTTAGAGAAACTTTCAACCCTGTTTATAAAGTCCACCATATTTTTAACAATTCTATTAAGGTATATTTCAGATACCATAAAATTAACCCATGTGAAGTATACAGTTTTTCATTATATTTACATAGTTGTAGAACCATCACTACTATCCAATTATACAGCATTTTCATCACCCCAAAAAAGAAATTTAAACTCTTTGGCAATCATCCCCGTTCCTGCACCACCACCTCAGTCCCAAGCAATCATTAATCTACTTTCTGTCTCAGTAGATTTGCCTATTCTGGACTTTTTTATATATAAATGGAATCAGAAAACATGTGTGAAGACCTCCATTTTAACTATTATTTAAGGCTGCATTGACCTCCTTCTTTTCTGAACTAAACATACCTCTACTACTTAGTTATAATTTTGTGCTTCTCAAAACCCAAAACAATGAACCTGTTGCCTTAAGTTGATTCAGACGCATGGCAACTCCATGTGTTACAGAGTAGAACTGAGCTCCATACTTACAACTTTATACTTCTTAAAACACAAAAAACTCCAAACCTTTTGCCCTCAAGTTGATTCCAACTCATGGTGATCCCATGTGTAATAGAGTAGAACTGCGCTCCATAGGGTAATCTTTATAGAAGCAAAAAATGTAAGGCCTTTCTTCAGCAGTGCCACTGGGTGGGTTCTAACCACTAGACTTTTTGTTGCTAGTCAAGTGCAAACCACTTGTACCACTCAGGGACCTTATGCCACTTGTATAATATTCTTTCCACAATGCTAATAAACTCACTGAGAATAATGAGTATTTATTCATTAATTCAATAATATAATCATTTATTCAACACATGTAATGAGCTCTTTTCTTTATACTTCACGGGTCAGAGAATAATAAATACTTTTGATTTGACTTGGCAAATCACTTCTTTGACCAATAGCTTAGTATGACCTTGTTGGCTTGTGATATTGTTCTAATCCAGCTGTTTCTCTTGAAGGTCATTAAAAATAATTTTCCTGATACTTTTTAATTTCTCACTTTAATATTCCATTACTGTATTTTTAGAAAAACCATATCAAAACAAAATTATGTAATAAAACAGACTCACGTTTGTAATGTTCAATTTCTGAATGATATAATCTGGGCATCTTTTGTGTTCATTGATCTTTACAACCACATCTCCAAAAGTCTTGGTACCCTGTTCCATTGATGGCCAGTATTCTGCACACTTGTTCTGTATTTTAAAAAATCATTAATGATGCTAGTCTTCCCTTTAAACAAAGTTGTTTCATTAAGTATTCTTTTTAAAAAATAAAACAAAACTTTATTCATTTGAAATTCTGAAAACATTTATATATTGTCCTTTATCCACATAAACACCTTAAGCTATGATGCTTGAAATGTATTCCGTTGCCCATTAATGTCTCCTGAAGGAATTCCTTCATATTACTTAGTGGGAGGGCTATCTTCCCAGGCTTAGCTGCATGTTAAAGAGCATGTATTTGCTGATTATCAAAAAGGGATAAACCTCATGTGGTTTGTTTCCGGAAGGAGGATGGAGAGACTTTCAAACCTCCTAAAGTCACATTACAAGAGTTACAATCTATCTGCCCGGGGTTGTTTTGCTTCCAAAACATTCACAAGCACTTGTGAAGTTAGTACCTAAATATGGACTGAATTTATAACAATACTGAAAAGAAATAGGAGTCAAATAGAATTCTGGCAATTAAGCAAGAGCATTGAAATTTCATGCACACATGTATTTAGGTAGGTACAAATATCATTTTTCTGCATTTACGAAAAATATAAAGCGAGTGTTATAACGACTAAAATAGGGAACTACCAGCTTTCGTCATCAAACACATATACACGCTTTTTAAAACGCAACTCAACAGTTCCTTTTCCCAACCCTGACAATATATATCTACCCTATGAATCTGCTGGGTCCTTACCCTGTTTCCCTCCTCACATCGAGTGACCATCACAATAACCGTGGCTTTCTGTTCCCAGATCATCCTCCAGAAATCCTCAACAGTTTCATCCCTGGGTCCTGGGACATAAACAAATGCAAACCAATAATATTTCTAACAAGTGCTATAATGCAATTAAAAAAAAAAAAAGTAGTAGACTATCAAAGAGATTACCTTGTGCAGCAATGTATTTTCTGGGTTCTTTGAAACCCTGTTCAAAACACATACACAAAGGCATGTCATTTACTGATGACTCAGTTATTCATCAATGTGCAAAATTGTGGGTCAGTGAAGTTGCTTTCGATCCACCATTTCTTGGTTGTGGATTTTCCAAGGCATTTTAAAATTATAAGCAGATGTTAATTAATATATGATCAGGCACGTAGCTGTGTCAACAAGTTAGCATGTGCAAACAATATTCATAACTTTTGTGTCTTTGCTATATGCCCAAAACAAAAAAGAATTACACGTTGTTTTCATCTGGGATGTGCAACAATTGACAATAGTAACCCAGACATTCCCATATTTTATTCCTGCCACTGTTTACAGCACCATCTGGCACAATTTAATCTTCGCTGCCGCCATGTAGTTACTTTTGGGATTTTTACTCAATTTCTTTCAATAAATCACTCTGGGATTACCCCACATTTCCACCTCTTATCTATTCCTAGAATATACTGCTGATTCCCTCAAGCCCCCTCGCCTTTCTGTTGCCATTCCAGATAAAAGACACAATGACTCATTTTATTCCTGAGAATGTCTGCTTTCTCTACTCCTATTAGTCAAGGCAAAGAAGGAGTACAGAGGCAGATAAGATTGTGCTAATTTCTTCCCAAATTACCTCATCCTCCTTAAATTCACCTCAGCAATCAGAGAAGCTCCTTGGAGAGAAATAACCTTTGCCATTAGATAAAATTTAGTCACATGGGCCACGAAATTTAAGATAAATGTCAGTAACTTCATGATACCTTATCATTCATACAGTGATTTATTCAAGTATTTATTGAGCGGTTACAGTATGTCAAGTACCTGTCTAAACTCTGGGGACAATGCATTCCAGGAGCTGCCTGCTTTCTCAGAGAAACATAAATGGAACCAGATACTGTAATTATCAATCTATATCAAAAAGAATATAAAGACTTTTTCCCAGATATTATCTAAATCCTTATACAGTCTGTCACATAACCAGGTCTGTTCTCAATTACTTTTCTTTGAAGAAAAACAATTATTTGGGAAAGACACAATAAACGAAAATGAACTTGATTTATGCTAATTTTCCCAGAAAATGCTTGCCAACCCTTGCTCTTTATAGTGATAGTATATATCTTTAAGATACATATTTTCAGTGAATAAAGCATGATATAGAACAATGTGAGGATTATGTTGCCACTTTTGTACAGAGAGGAAGGGAAGTTATAAATGTTGGTGTTTTCTTGTGGATGTACGAAGAAACTCTTGCTGCATAAACAAGAACCAACATAGACGCCTCTTCAGGTAAGTGGAAACACTGAGATAATGGAGGATTGGGCAGGAGGAAGGTTTTTGTTTTTTTTTTAAATCTATATATTTTTTATACTATTTTAATTTTTTTTAAATCACGTGATGCATTACTTATTTGAAAATTAAGTAAAAACTGAAATTTTAAAATACTTTGAATGAATCAGCCATGTTAAGATATTTACACTTTGGGATAAATACAAAGAACAGATGATCTGTGTCAGCAAAGAGCATCACAGTCCAGGTAATTAATTAACTAGAGCCCCCAGTCCTGACCTGTACAATGAGCATAGCACAGATGGCTGGGGCAAATGTGGTGCTCTTGTGATAAATATATGTACAGATTATCTAGTCTAATATACAGCATTTAATAGGTCACCAGAATATGTTAATTATTAGCATCATTTTGATAATAGAGGAAAACCCCAGATTATACTTAGTGCCAGTAAGCAAATGATATATAACTATTCATGTAAATGTTAGCGATTTTGTGGTTTATATCAGCTAACATTATGAACTCACTTCAAAGTATTTCTAACAATATTTCAAACATTTTCCAAAGACAAATATGGAAATGAATGGAGTGCATGGATAAAAGTAAAATGAAAATCATCAATGAAAGAAATGATGCATTTTCACTCACATCAATGTAGCTGGCATTTATATAGTTTGACCCTGCATCTCCATTTATCTCAGAGAGTTCAACTCGATTATAATCATCTGTTTAAAGAAAAGAAAAATAAGTGAAATATTGAATAACCAAGTAGCCTCAATATACTGTAAGTCAATTCTCAATGAGTACTTACAGGGAAGGATGTCAACATAACGGTTTTTGTTCTGGTTAAAAGACTTTCGAGCGTCCTTGATAGAAAATTTGCTGAACACCCGTGGTATGCTCTGAAACACACAAAGATCCTTTGGGTCACAGCAGATTCAGGGAAAATAATTCCCCCTTGCCAGTTACCATCTGAGCAAATGAAATGTCCTGTGATATATTTCCTTTATATTGATGAACAAGTTGCATATGGTAATTAAAATTAACATTCTTAGGAATTATGAAAAATAACCTTTTCTTCCTTAAAAATTAATGATGGTTTACATGGAGAACAAAACCCATAACTGAGAGTAAATTTAGAATTAGTTACTTTGCCACTTTAAAACCCATTTAAAAAAAAAAAAAACTTGGATATTATCTAAAGTACAAGTTCAAAATTGGTCAAGTATCATAATTATAATTACAATAAAGCATTATATGAAAATATATACTAGCTGTGTGACTATGAGCTTGTCAACCTCTGTGAGTCTCTTTTCTGGTCTGTAAATATCTGCTTTGACTATGTTGTAGTATTGTGTGAGATAAATTATAAAGGAAAACAGTTACAAATGCATTTAAAATGAAATTATCTCAGTATAGCATTCCTCATCATAATGTACGTGAATGCACACACCTGAAATTCAGCCAGAAAGAGTCTTCCTTCATCAGCAATCTTTCTTTTATAAGTTTCCAACAAAATATCTGCATGGATTGGCTCCACATTCATCAGTTGTTTTTCATCATCTTTAAACATATTAAAGATTCAGGGCTAGTGTTATGTCTATTTTTAAAATATTCATACAAATTTTATTGAATATATATCCTAGATTCATACCTTAGTCTTCTTTCCTTCCTAGACACAGTCCACCTGGGAAGACTCACTCACATATAAACATTCACCCATAAACCAATAGCTTTTAAATCTCATACCTCAGCCTTCTTGTGGGATTTATGTTCATGTTTCCCACTGACTCTCAGACTTTACTCACACTTATCCCATTAAAAGAAAAAAAAAACATTTCAGTCAAGTTGATACCAACTCATATGTTCCTCCAAATCAAAATGTTCAAAATGAAACTCATTTTCTCTTCTCTAGGATTTCATATCTCAGTAAACAAGATCACCGTTCACAAAGTAACTTATGGTTGAAATTTCCAAGTTATCCAAGATGTCTCCTCTCTCCCTATATCCAGTGGGTTCCATCTTTTCTGCCAGTGACCAGGTTCAGCAGCTCCTCATCATCTGTGGATCCTTGCCCCTTCCCCTGTCTCCTTTCTCTCCTTATACTGCTCTAACTTCTAAACTGCCACAAATTAATCTTCTGGAATACAAATATGATCATGTAACTCTTCTTGTAGGAAAACAAAACAAAACAAAACAAAACACTTGGGGGTGCTCCAATGCATTAAGGCTAAAATTTAAATGTTTAACATGATATATGAGTCCTTTCATTTCATAATCTCCCCTGACTTATCCACACTGTCTTCCCTACCCTCTTTCTTCATACCTTATGCATAAATATTTTCCAAAATCCATCATGTGATTTCATGTCCCCATGTCTCTGTACATATTGTTCCCTCTATCTAAAATGTCCTTCCCCATTTTCTCTGCCTACAGAACAAGTACTCACTTTCAGGTCTCAAACCAAATATCACCAGTGAAATGACTTACATGCTTATTTGTTTGTTTATATACATTTTATAGCAATTAGCATACTTGTTTATCTATATCACAATTAATATTTTTTATCATTTCCATTTTTAACTTACAAAATATTTTAAGCATGCAGATAAAATAAGAGAATATGACTAGTACTCCATATCTAAAACTCAGCTTAGTTTGATTATCAGTTTGCACTAGAATGTGAAACAAGTTTTTTCATTATGCCTCCAAAATATGAAACATACGCTAAATATGTTTTTGAAATAACTTACTGAAGAGTAAACATATATATTAACCATCAAGAGCTATAATTGTGGATCTTGAAAAGCAACAGTTTTAGATGAATAAGAAAATTGAGCTGTCACACGTGTAAAAAGTACATTTCTCCTACTCTTCCACCTGCTGTGGTAGTATTTGTATTCAGTACTCTTGTTAATTTCCCATTTATCAGGTGAAGAAAGTGGTTGTCCATGAGGTTGTACATATATCTTACTGTCAATGGAAATTTCCTATCCAGTCACAGTTATCAAACTTGCCATCTGCAATTGCTTCTTTGGGTTGTTGAGAATCCCTAGTATTCATTCTGAACATAGGACCACCTTTGGGTTTGGGATAAATTCTAATGAAGTCTGGGTAAATGTGAATGCATTCTGAGGGACAATCAGATCAACCTTGAGATAAAATGTTTCTTTGATGCTCTCCAGTCAGCCTTGACTCCTTTAAATGGATTCTCCTCTGCTCAGGTACCCATAGCCCTAGTGCTTTTCATTCTTAACTCACTCTATCAAAACCAGTCCTCAAGACTCTTTATCTCATTCATTTATTTAGTCATTGGTAATTATTGAATTCCACATACTCGCCTAGGTACTGGGGATGAGACAGTGAATGACAAAAGAAAACATTCCTCCCCTAACAAAGCTTACATTCTAGTTAGGGGAGATTAGTCAAGAAACAAATGAATAAATGTATAATACAATGTCAGGCAGTAATAAATCTACAAAGGAAAATAAAGCATATCAAGGGAACTCCAGAGAACTAGCCCTAAAGCTTCTGCACACAGACATGGTACTGGCTATTGCCAGGGGGATGCCCTTCAAGGACAAGTTAAAACAAGATGGAAGAGTTCTGAAAATTTTTCTTTCTTGAGTATGAGAAAACGAATTGTTTTCTTTATTGTAAACTAGTTGTGGTTTCTTTAACTCCATCCTTCTTTATGAAATAAAAATCATGTTTTTAAAAAGAAATGGTATAAAAATTTTAAAAAGAAAAATAATTTTCCTCCCGTAAGTCAAATGGCAGTCCTTGGTCATGTTCATAAATGTTCCTTTAGTGGAAGCAGCCACCCAAGCTTGCAGGGACTTGGGGATATTTACCACCTTCTCATCTCTGTGACTTTCTGTGCTCTCTTCCCTCTCCCTCATTTCTCAGTCTAGTGTTTCCCCGCCATCTTAGAAAACTCGGATTTTTCCACTCCCTATAAGCAGTTTTTTACCTTCTATCTTTCTATAGAAGCCTTGGTGGCTCAGTGGTGAAGAGTTTCAGTTGCTAACCAAAAGGCTGATGGTTCAAATCCACCAGCTGCTCCTTGGAAACCCTATGGAGAAGTTCTACTCTTTCCTGCAGGGTTGCTATGAGTCAGAATCGACTCCATGGCAATGGGCTTGGGGCTTGGGCATCTTTCTGTAAAACCACACACATTCAACAACTATGGCATTTATCACGTTACTGTAATATTCGTTAATACTTCTGTTTTCCTCTATTAGGTTCTAAACCCTTTCAGGGCAGAGTCTATCACTGTGGTATTCTTGGTAGCTGACACCATATTTGGCATACACTGAGCACCTCATAGATGCTTGATGATTGAATAAATGAATTTAAGTTTCATCAACAGAGAAAATCTGGGTTAAATCGAAAGCACTGAATTCTTTTTTAAACTGTATGGATTCAAATGTAAGGGTGTGAATATTCATCAGTAAAAAATTTGCATACTTACCCCTTTCAACAAGTTCCTGTTGTTCATCTAAATTGCTGTGGAAACAAGACACATAAGTTTCTATATTTTCAAGAAACAGAATTCAGTAGGCATTGAATTTATTAATTTCTTAATTAATGACTGTGTTAAAAGAAGGAGGGAAGGGAGATGGGGGGGTGGGGATAAAAGGAAAGAAGAGGAGACAAGGAAGTAGAGAAAAGGAGAAGGGAGAAAAGGAGCAAATAACCAACCAAGGGTTGTCTGCTAAACTCAAGTAAGTGACAAAACTATTTTAAACCTCCTGTTTTTCATAAAATGTGGTTGTTCTTGGCCAAAGAAATACACATACTTCCCGATATATACTGCCCACCCCCCTTTCTTTTGCCTTTCGTCATTTCTAGGGCCACTTAACCCATTTTGTACTGAAGGAACAGACACACTGTCTTTTCACTGGTCATTATTAAAAGACGTCCATAAAATTACTAGTGGTTGTAGAAAATATTAAGATTTAATATAAACCAGTAAAACCTAAACTAAAAGTCTTTGATCAAAAGTTTCAGTCATGACGTGAACTTCACACTGTGCTGTCTGAATTCACATTTTTCACTTAACTTGTTCCATCCCTGCCACCATGGATACATGCTTGCATTGTTATTACTATTTTTTATTATTTTTACATTTGAAAAGCAACTCTTACCTGGATCTTTTCTTATTCAGGTCATAGATTTTGTAGAGAACAAAGAGCAGGGCTATGGCTGTCACAATAATCAGAAATACCAGAAATGCAATCAGTGCTTTCGAATTATCTAGAAAATGAAAAAGAACACATTAAAAGACCTCATGATAGCAAACGTTTTCCTAGATTCTTTGAATAATCACCTTTTTTAAAGTACTTGCATCCTAATATTTTCATTTATTTGGGATTTGAGAATAAGATCAAATATAATAAATTCCTGATTTTGTGAATTTTACGTAGACTATGCAAGACCAATAAAAACATTTTGTATTTAAAGAAAGTAATTAGGATACAGAAGAGCAATTTTCTTCCCTTCCATCAAACAATGTCCCTTTATAAACTATTTAGATTTAATTCTCTTTTTTTCATCACTCTATTTTGAAATTATTAAAGAGGTAATCTACTTATTATAATTCTCAAGTAGAAACCCATATAGTTAAGCTTTATATGCAGAAGTGGGTCTTTACCTAAGGGGATCAGAAAGGCCTCTGGCCCACAAAGATAAACCCTCTCACCTGCTCATTGATGGTAAAATTAATTAACCAAGGGATAAAAATGTTTCCTTCTAAGTTAGGATGAGACTTACCCTGACTTAAATTTTCCCTAAGATTTAAGGTGAAATCACACCCTTTCCTGAGGGAAAGGGCAGAGAAGGGAGTGTGTTGGTAATACACCTTACAATGACTAATATGTTAAGCTTTTCATATACGGTGAAAGTGCAGGAAAATAATGCAGTCATTTAGGGGTCTTGATCCCAGAGCCAGACTGCTTAGGTTCAAATTCTAGCTCTACCCCTTCCTAGTTGCAACTCTGGCCAGAATTCTTGTTATCTTTATATCTCAATTCCCTCATTCCTAAAATGAGGTTAAATGGGCTGATTTATAATAAACACTTATCATGATGCCTGGAACACAATAAGTACTAACTATACACTATTCAAAAGAAAAAAAAAATTTTTTTTTTGTTAAGTCTTACTATGTACCAAGCACTGTTCTAAGTGCTCAGGATACTTTAGAGAACCAAACAGACAAAGGTCCCTGTCCACATGGAAATTATCTTCTAGTGAGGAAGTCAGACAATAAGCAATGAATATAATAAGTAAACAAATGATAAAGTAGCTTAGGCGACGAGGGCTATGAAGATTAAAAAGGAAGAGCAGGATAAAGGCATTTGGGAGTGTGAGAGGTACCAGATCCCAAGGTCAAGTAAGTTGTCAGATATGTCAGGGAGGCCCATTGAGAAGGTAAGGGAGTTAGCCAAGCAAATATTTAGGACTGTATGTTCTAGGCAGAGGGCATCCTCAGGACAAGAAATCAAAGGTAGGAGCATGGCTGGCGTGCTTAAGGAATAGCAAAAATGCCAGTGAGGCTGGAACCCAGTGAGTGAGGGGGGAGAAGAGCAGGAGATGTGACCTGAGAGTTAGTGTTGCAGGAAGTAAGGGTGAGAAGGTCAGGTTATTTGGGATTTTTAGGCCATTTTAAGGATATTTTAGTTTTTACTTTGCATGAAACGAGTAGCCCTTAAAGAGTAATATACTTTGACTTATGTGTTACAAGGATTTGTATGGTTACTTAACGAGAATGCCATAATCCAGGCAAAAGGTGACAGTGGTTCAGACCAGGGTAGTAGCTCTGAAGTGGGAAAAGGGGGAAAAGTTTAAATGGAGTTGTAATTAACTGGAACCAGGAAGGCTGTGGGTGGAACAGGCTTCAAGGGAGAATAGGAGTTCTGTTCTGGATTTAAGAGTTTGAAAGAATTATCAGACATCTAATGGGAAATGCCAAGTTGGAAATGGGATATGCAGATCCTTAGCTGTTAAATCATAAATCTTTAGGAATAGGCACTTGGGCTGGAGATAAAAGTATCCCTGATTGATAAACTACATCTGAACAGGGAGGTTTAAGTAAGAACCATATCAACCTATTGGGAAGCCATAGCTTTGGGCTTCCCTGAGTGTACTACCCTCTGGTAACTGGGCATATCCCTGTCGACACCTCTGAAATCTATTTCCATGGAAATATTATTAGATTAAAAAAAAAATAGTCAACATTAAGTCAACTCTAACTCATGGTGACCCCATGTGTGTCAAAGTAGAACTGTGATTTATAGGCTTTTCAAAAGCTGATTTTTTGGAAATAGATCACCAGGCCTTCAGAGACTGGTTCTTACTTGGGATATGAGGCTTCTAAGCCAGAGTGGCTCCTGTGCCACAAATGTGGTCTCTCATGTCAGGTTTGCCTCTGGGAGGGTCAGAGAGTAGTCCCCGGACTGCTGTGCTCTGCCTGACTCTCTTGGTATCCTATTAAGGTGTGTGCATGTGAAATGCCCACTTGAGTTTAAGACTCCAAGAGTGGATGATGCGGCTAAAAATTATTTACATAATGAAAAAACTCAATGAAACTCTTTATTGTGAGGAGAAACAAAAGTCTAATATGGAAATAAAACCACAGACACGTGGCTGAATTTGTATGGCGTTTAACACTAGAGCTCTTATGTTAACAATCTTAACCAAAAGGACTAGAACTTTTCATGGAACTTAGCAAAGCAGTTTGGAAAGTCAGCTGGTTTTGTAGCTTGCTCTTGACTTTGGAAAGTAAGGCTTCAGTGATTGCGTACGTGACTATGTGTGTCAGAAAGAAGGACTGAGAAGTGGCAATGACAGCACCAGAAATAGCCTATGGTTGATGACACAGCCTACAGAAGTTTAAATAACTTAATTTTGCCTACAGAGTAAACAAATAGAGAAAGCTTAAAGCAGTGTACCAAGTGTTCTTTCTGTGTAGGCTCATATCAATAGGCAGTGTTAATAACCCTAGAGAGAGCACCATACAAACGTTGTTTACATATATAGGGAACTCTAAGGAGAACTAAAAATAGAAGTGGTTAAAAATGGTTGCTTTGGTGAGCTGAACAATGAGTGGGGAGTGGTGTGACACAGCTGTTATTTTCATTAAAATGACATTTTAAGTTACTTGATTTTTTCCACGTGCACCTTTACTTTGATTAAAATCATTTTTAAGATGTTAGTCGTAAACTAAACAGCCATATTGTTGCCGTTATGAAATATTTTTTACCTTCCATTAGGTAAATCAGAAAAAAAATCTGTATCTAACATCCAGTTCTGCAAAGTATACAGTTGAAGGACAAAATAAGATACAATAAGTAATAATCTCAGAATATTACACCAAACAAAGTTGTTAACATGAAGGAGATGCCACAAAAAATAGTCATAATAATCTGTGCAGGAAGTCTTTTTGTGTAGTATTTTATGAAGTCAACGAGCACTTGTCTGCTAACCTAAAGGTTGGTAGTTCGAACCCACCCACCCACTAAGTGGCCCCACGAGGAGAAAGACCTAGAGATTTGCTTCCATAAGGATTACAGTTAAGAAAACCCTATGGGGCAATTCTGTTCTATCATATGGGGTTGCTATGAGTCAAAGACGACACCTAACAACACTTATCTGAATTAAAGATATTGTATTTTAATATGAAGTTCACCTATATTTTTACAGAACAATTTATAGTATTATGTTTATGGAAAGCATATCATTTAAATATTTTGAAATGAAATATGAGTTTGAATATGAAATAATACAGCGGTGTAAGTGTTAAGACACAAGTTACTATAAAGATAATAAATAGCTCAGTAGTGACTTACAAGATGTTGGAATAGTCTTTTTAACTTCAGGTCCACAAAATTTCCCATTGTAAAAACAGACCTAAATTACAGCAATAAAAAAGAAAATAAGTTAGTTTTCTAAAGTAAATTTACATATCATAATGTAAGACAAACATTATTCATCAGTCAATGCTGTTTATTTTTATTTAAAATATGCTGGTTTGCTCTAATTTAAAGTTCAAATTTCAAGGTTATATCAATATTTTGTTGTCAAATTATTTTTTAAAAGTACTTTGACAGTGCATAAGATGTAAACAGATTTTAATCCATTTATCAACAATAATAATGATAATCAGCAAGAATAAATAAAATCTGATACATAGGAAGTATTCGTAACTGAAAGTTAAAATTCCCAATTAACAGACAAATAGCTTCACATTTGATTTAAAAAGAAAATTCAACCATATGCTGTTTACAAGCACCGTACATAAAATGTACATAATTTTTTCAAAGGCAAAGGTACAGCTTTTAAATGGAAACATTACAAAATAACAATCAGAATATTTATATTTAGTTCACAAGGGTTTAAAAGGATAAAGATCGATGCCCTAAAGTGATAACACGGTAAAATTCACGATAAAGATATAGCCCATTGCTGTCGAGTCGATTCCGACTCTCAGCAAACCTATACGATGGAGTAGAACTGCCCCATAGGGTTTCCGAGGAGCGGCTGGTAGATCCGAACTGCCAACCTTTTGGTTAGCAGTGGAACACTTAACGACTGTGCCACCAGGGCTCCAACATAGATACAACTAGCACAAATGTCTGAGTCTCATGATATTTAATGCAAATATATAAAGCAAAAATAATTTATATATACAAGGAAACTAAAAAAGGCAAAAAGCAATGGCAGTCTTTGGCAGAAAACAAATTTAAGAATAAAACAGATCTGAACAATATAATTACAAGAGATTTTACGATAAACGTGAAAAATAAATGACATGTATATAAGCTTTTATCCTATGGAAAATATATAATTTCCCCAGTTCTCAAAGACTATTCATAGATATTTATCATACATTGGGCTGTAAAGAATGCACTATGAATGCAAAAGCCAGAAATTGTAAAAGCCAGTTTTTTTTTAATAAACAGATAACTAATAGCAATAAAAAATTCAATCATGAGAATGTAAAAACACTTCCCTAAATAATGTATATTAAAAAGCTTCCAAGTTGCAATAATTATCTTTGGAAATTACCAATAAAAAGAATACTGTTTGAAAGAATCATTTATTAAACTCTATGTGCAGGCACTGAGAAATGAGTGATAAACAATATCATGGGACACAGGCAAAGTTTTACCAGACACCACATAGCCTTAGGCTTTTTTTTTTTTTTAAGTTGGTTTGTTTTGGTTTTTAGTTAATAAAAAGAAAAAGGAAAAGCAATGGAGGAAAAAATGAAACAAAACAGAAAACCTTTCCATCCAAAGCTACCAGAAAAATATCAAAATAAACTCAGGAAAAAGAAAACTAAGAAATTAATCATTATAAAAAATTATGATTTATTAACCAGGGATCACAATGCGGAAAAATACTGAAAAAAAACTGCTTCCTCATAAAGCTATAAATATAGCAGTGAAGACAGGAATAAATATAAAACAAATAATTGTAAGTGTAATGAATAAAAGACAGTCTTCTGAAAAGTCAGGGAAGAAAATGGATAACTGAGTATTTATCTTCCAATTTGAATTTTAAGGTATTGTATTTTAATATGATGTCCACCTATATTTTTTCAGAATAACTTGAAGAGTGGGAGAAGAGAATTCTAGGGACAAAGAAGAGCATGCAGCAAAGTGCCTAAAGAGAGAAAAACCTCAGTGTATTTGAGAAAATGAGAAGAAATCGGTGTGCCTGGAGCTTAGTGGGCAATGGGTAAGGAGGGAGAAATGAAGTACAATATACAATGATATGGTGATCATATAATATCTCTTGTACATGGACTGTTCTTTGGAACAACATAAATGCCCATACTCAAAATGGGTAAAAATATCTGAAAAGACCAATAATTTTAGAAAAAAAAAAAATGTAAATGGTTCCCAAATAATTCCTCTGTGCTAAAGGCACCAAACACATTTTTGGGGTACAGATAATTTCTATATTATTTAAAGTTACAAACAGAAAAAAAAAATGATCTCCAGTGGGTTCTATCAGGTTAGCACAAGCTTCATACCAAAATGTAACAAGAATAGTGGGCACCTGTATCTATGCAAATACAACTCTACCCACTTATGGAATGATCTCACTTATGGATACATATTCATGATGTATTAGTAAAATATTAAACTGTTTAATAATGTTTTAAAGACTAATAAGCAATGACAGAGCAGAGTTTATTTTAGGAAAGTGACTGGTTTAGCATTAGAAAACCTATCATTATAATTCACCATATAAACAAATCAAACAATGTCATTATTGACAATCCCTGGATTATGAATGAGTTCCATTCCCAAGTCTGTCTTTAAGGTGAATTTGTATGCAAGTCAGAACAGTTAGGTATGGTTCATATCTAACGTCAGTCAAATGTTTATCTTAGTATATAGTACATAGTGTACTTTTCTATGCATAAAAAATTAAAGACACACTTCTAGATACCCTAAAACATCTTTAACATAATAATAGAGTAATAATAATAATAAAGTTTTAAAGTGCATTGCAAAGTAGTGCCCATTTGTTATTACAAAGCATTGTATGTACCTCAAGTTTTTAATATAATAGGTTTTATGGATGTTGGTTCATAACTAAGTCGGACGTTCGTAACCCGGGGACGGCCTGCACAAGCATGTCATCATCTAATATAGTGGTAAAATTTGTTTTGATAAAATCTAAATTAGTTTTCTGGTTGAAAAAATTTAAAAAGTCTATAAATAGAAAAACATTTCTTTAACCAAAAATGATATGAAGCCAATTGCCAACATCATATTTAATAGTAAAACACCGGGGGAGTTTCCATTAAGAGAGGAATTAAAGTGATAAGTTTGACCAATAAAAATGAAATTAAAAATTGCATCTGATTCTAAGAACTATGTAGAAAATTAAAAAGCAAATTATAAACTTAAAGCAAAATATACAACACATGTGATAGTTGTACATTATGACAATTATCAATTTCAAAAGAACTTCCCAAATGAAAATTAGACCAAGGAAGTAGAGGATACTATCACAAGAACAAAAAGTAACTATATTTACTCTCAACAATGTGTAAAGATATACCATTAAAACAAAAAGATACCATATTTCACCTAAAACCAAAGCAAATTCTTGCCATTGAGTTGATTCCAACTCATGTTGGCAAATCTCTCAAGAACTAGCCATTTTATAGACTGCTATGAGAAGGGTAATTTGCTTACCTTACAGAAAAAAATATTAATATGAATCTAAAAATCTTAAAACACGTGAATTCCTTTGACCCAACAATTTCATTTCCAGGAATTTATCAAATGGAAATGATTAAAAATGTGCAAACTTATAAGTATGTCTAATGAATGTTGTTTATAACAGAAACCAACATAGGTATAGTTAAGTAAAATGTGGTGCAGTCATATGACAGAATCCTATGCAAACCTGAAAAATTAAGTGTTGTTGTTAGGTGCCGTTGAGTCAGTTCCAACTCATAGCAACCCTATGTACAACAGAACGAAACACTACCAGGCCCTACACCATCCTCACAATTCTTACTATGTTTGAGCCCATTATTGCAGCCACTGTGCTAATCCTTCTCGTCTAGAGTCTTCCTCTTTTCCACTGACCCTCTACTTTACCGAGCATGATGCCCTTCTCCAGGGGCTGGCCCCTCCTGATAACATGTCCAAAGTACATGAGACGAAGTCTCTCCATCCTCACTTCTAAGGGGCATTCTGGCTGCACTTCTTCCAGGACAGATTTGTTTGTTCTCCTGGTAGCCCACGGTATGTGTATACTCAATATTCTTCACCAACACCATAATTCAAATGCAATAATTCTTCTTTGGTCTTTCTTACTCATTGTCCAACTTTCAACTTTATTCATTTGAGACAATTGAAAATACCATGGCTTGGGTCAGGCACACCTTAGTCCTCAAAGTAACATCTTTGCTTTTTAACACTTTAAAGAGTAACACTTTAAAAATTAAGTAGTAACAGAATATTTAACATGGAAAGATGTTCATGATATAGTGACATCTGAAAAATACAGTTGAGTATTCAGAATGTTGATATTATATTTGATAGATATGAATATGTTAATGTGAATTACATTATGGAATTATATAACAAATATGATCAATAGACAGTGAAATTATGGGTATTTTAAAAATCTCTGTGTAGTGTTTTTTCTAACCTCAAAGTACCTCTAAAGATTTTGTAATTGAAAAATTCATGTCATTAAGGATGAAAAACAAAAGTAAAGAAAATATTTGGCACAGTGATAATCTGTTGTGCATAAAGTGTTGTGCTCCTTACCACATGAACAATAATATACCTATAATAAAATCATATTGAAATTCTAATATATTCCAATAAAAATTTTTCTTTAAACCACTGATTTTAGTAGGGATGAAAAGTTTGGAGTCCAAACTTTTAAGACTTTTGAAGCATGATTACAGTAGGTATCAGAGGTTTTCAAGGTTGTCTGAGCACTGTTCTGAACATTGTATTATAAAAATATAATTATTATAATGCATGTCAGTATTATAGTGGTTATAGAAAACATAATCTTACCTCTAACGTGTATTCTGTTAAATACTGGAGATCTGTCTTGAAGAAATCGCACTCCCTGTTTACTTCTCTTTTTTCTTCACCTCCACCTTTTATTGTCAAATTGTAACCTTTATGGGGGCCATTAGGGTTATCAGGTTCCTTACAGTTCACTTTTATACTATTATCTGATTCCCGGGTAACAACTAGGTTCTTGACCTCATCTGGCCCTATCATAATGAAGAAAAATTTGTTATTTTATTCATTTACAAAATGCTTATTTAAATTACTCAACAATTTGAGTATAGTATAAAGTACTTTAAGTGTTACGGGGTCATGGATGATGAAGTTACGGTAGTGCATAAATAAAGCTATAAGAACATTTGAAACTAAATAGCCTAGTCATTCAGTACGTATTGACATACAGATTGTAGTTGAAGTAATAAGAGTTTAGGCAAACTTCCAAGGGGAATGTGTAAATTAGAAAAGAGACAAAAAGAGGGCAGAAAGGAACAGAATGGAAGAGAAAGGAAGGGAACAGAAAGAAAAGGGAAAAGAAGCAAAGGAAAGGAAAGGAGGGGAGGAAAGAGAAGGGAAAGGGGGAGAGGGGAGGGGAGGGGAGGGAAGGGCAGGAAAGGGAAGGGGAGGGGAGGGAAGGGGGGGGAGGGAAGGGAAGGAAGGGTAGGGAAGGGAAGGGAAGGGAAGGGGAGGGAAGGGAAAGGGAGGGAAGGGATGATTGCTGGGAAACCTCTAAGGGTGGATAAAGAGACCATAAAGGAGACTGAGAAGCCACAAACAGATAGGTAGAAGAGAGTGTATAAGTGAAACCCTGAGGGGAGTGAGTTATCTGAGGAGTTACTTGCACTATGAATGTTGCAGAGAGGTCTTGTAAACTGAGCACTAAGAAGGATTTGTTGAGTTTAGCAATTAATAGGTCATTGATTGTCCTGGTGAGGGCAGTCTTTAGTGGCTGATAGACTGAATTGCAATTTGTTCATAGCGAAAATGAGGTCAAGGTTAGAGACCAGGAGGGTAGACTAGAAGTTTGACTGAAGTGGTAACCAAAAAACCAGTTGCCATTGAGTCCATTTTGACACTTAGTGATCCCATGTGTGTCAAAGTAGAACTGTGCTCCATAAAGTTTTCAAGGGCTGATTTTTTAGAAATAGATCCCCAGGCCTTTCTTCTGAGGTACCTCTGGGTAAACTCAAACCTTCAACCTTTCAGTTAGCAGCTAAGCATGTTAAACCATTTGTACCATCCACCAGCTCTTAAGTAGGAGGCATATTGTAACAGGAAGGAGATTTAAAAAAAAAAAAAAAAACTACCTATGTCTCTCTACAAGATGTAGTGCTGCCTTTCTTCTACTTACTCTTTAGCACACAATCATCAAGTACCTACTGTGTGCCAGGCACTGTGCTACGGTCTGAATATACAGTGGTAGCTACCCTTAACCTCATGGAGTTTACAATCTAATGGGGGTGACGTATATTAAGAAACTGAATCATAAATATATAATCCCAAAGAAATGGGGTCTTTGAAAGAGAAATATTAGAGAATGGAAAGATATTTCAGAGGATGAGACCTTGAAATAATACCTAAGATCCTTCTGACACTTCTAGAACATGCCAAATTCCTCTCCTGCCAGTGACCCTTTACATTTGCCCTTCCAAATGCCTGCAAGATTCTCCTCCTGACTTTTCACACAGCTCCATGTTAATTTCAAAATCCATCATTAAAAATACTCTCAGCAAAATTTAAAAGTAAGCACTTGGTTGAATCAGAAAGTCTGTGGAGACGATATTGCAGCTTATTTTTCTTTATCTGTTTTCACATCCAATATAGATTTTATCATTATTTCTAACTTCCCTTAGGATTTCTCCTTACCCTCTTTGAAATCACAGGTTGTAAGAGTTAAATGCAGCCTACCATATAATCTAGCCCTCCATTCCTGAAGCCGACTTGTCTCTACTTACATTACCCTGGTAGGCACCTGGCTGAATTCTTCAGGAGCAGAAACACATTATCTTGGCTTTCCGTGCTAACACAGAAATCCAGGAAAATAACAAAGGTATAGAGCTCTGGAACCTGGACTTCTTAAACCAAAACCTAGATGACATTAAGGATTTTTATGTCCATCCCTGAATAGGACAAGTTTTCTAAGTGAGCCTGGTGAGCCTCAGAGTCTCTGGTGCTATAGATGCCACCTTACCAATTACAAGTTGCTGTGGAATCAGCTCTGACTCCTGGTAACACCATGTGTGAGAGAAGAATTGCACTCCATAGAGTTTTCAGTGGCTGATGTTTTGTAAGCAGATTGCTAGGCTTTTCTTCCAAGGCGCCTCTGACTGGACTCAAACCTCCAACAATGAGCTCTTTAACTGTTTGTACTACCCAGGGACTCCAGATGTCACCTCAGACAATGGCATATCTTCTTCCCTGTCCTTACTGAGTCTCAGAGCCACCTCAGAGGCACATTTAACTTTGGGCCTAGAAACTAGGGATGGGCCTCTGGTTGGTGTAAATGGTTTGTGCTTGACTACTAGCCAAAAGCTTGGTGGTTCAAACCCATCCAATGGCACCACAGAAGAAAGGCCTATAAAGATGTGCTTCCATAAATATTACAGCCAAGAAAACCATATGGAGCTCAGTTCTACTCTGTAACGTGCGGAGTCACCATGAGTTGGAATTGAGGAAGACATGATATAGGTGGCAAGAACCAAATGCTGTTTAAAGGAGACCTCAAATGGAAAATGTGACATAAAATAAAATAGTAAATAGTTCAAAAGAATAGAGAAGAAAATGCTAACAATATGTTTCATGAGGTGTTTCATCAGGTGAGCAGAGACTAGTAATACTTATAAGAGATTAATAGGTGTCTGCTTGTAGTTAATATTTCTAGATAGTAAAGAAAACAACAGACAATATATTTTTGTCTAGGTTGATTAAGTTCTCAATTGCCTGAAAGCCTACAAATTGTACCAGTTCATACGCCCTCATGCTTTATTCTTACAATTGTATGACCGCATCTGGAGAATACCAAAAACCCAAGAGAGCTAACAATTTTAAATTATTTTATTTCAAATTAATATAAACCTTAGATATTAACAAATGCCCCAGGTCAGTGTATTTCCCAAGTAAAGCATAAACATAGATATACTGTAGGCTAAAAAGTTTATACTTTCCTCTTTGCCATTCGTAGAAAGAAGTATTGAAGCATATAACTTACGTGTTATTTTTGTTGGAAACATACATGACTCAGCACTTCCATTACGTTGTACTTTTCCAGTGGTGTAGGCATGTACTGATATAGAATAGTTTGTATAAGGTTTCAACTGTTTCAAAGTATATTTGGTTTCATTTGGTCCCAGACACTTGCAGTTACTTTCTAAGGGGGGGGGGGAGGAAAAATTTAAGTAAATCAGTAAAAGTCAGGATTCTTACATATTTAGTTTTGTCTTGACATGACATCATTCCAATCAGACACCACATTAATGAGTGACTGAGAAATAAGTACATTCCTGATGCTCAGAAGTGCATGCAACTATCAACAAAAGTCTTGAACTAGTGCAGTTATTATAAATAAATGCAAATGCTCAAAATTATGTTTTCATGTCTTTAATTTGGTACATAAAATATTTAATAAACTCCAGACACATTTTTTGAGGATAGTCTCTTTTCTTTCTGAGAAAACACAGCCCCTAGTGGATATTATGAAATTCTTGAGTTGCAACATTTCAGGATGATTATTTTTTAGAGCACGTTTTTCTGATCCTTAGCCTCCAAATTTTGATCATCAATATTAGCTACTGCTGTCGGCTTTAGATGCAGAATCCATACGATTACCTGACTACGTCTACTCTATCATACTAATTTAAGCACATCAGTAATTTATGGGGGCTGCAAGAATGAGGGAAAGCTTCATGCTGGCAGTGGAATCCATGTTGTTCATCGAATGAATGAAGAGTGAGGTTGAATAGGTGTAAGGAGTAAAAGACAACATTACATATGAATGAAGGAACATTTTGATTTGGGGGGACAAGCCTGACTGGGAGAGCAGATTCTAGTTGAGAAAGCATACGAGAGGTAGGACCATGTTTATATGGGTTTTCACTTTCAGGAAGAAGAGTTAAAAGTTGAAAAATAACTAGTTATTGACTATTTTTGAGTAGGCAAGTGGCATCAGAAACGATGTGTTAAAAGAAGATTAGAGTGGCAGCACATTGATGCATAGCTGTTACAGGAATGATAATAATAATACAAATAATGATTTAAAAAAAAAAGATTTCCTCACTATACGTGCCACGTACTGTTTTACATGGTGTACATGAATTAATTATTTTAACCATCATCACAACCCTATAAAAAAACAATTTCTACTCATAGCAACCCTATAGGACAGCACAGAACTGCTCTATAGGGTTTCCAAAGAGCAGCTGGTGGATTCGAACTGCCAGTCTTTTGGTTAGCAGTCGTAGCATGCCAGAGCTCTTAACCACTGTGCCACCAGGGCTCCACAGTATCATCTGATTTTACAGATTAAAAAAAAAAAAAAAACAGTCACAGAAAGAGTAAACAATCTGTACAAGATTCCACCATAAAGAAAGAAGGAAGGCAGGTAGAAACCCATTAAGGCTCCAGAATCCATGCTGTAGCCTGGGAGAGGGGACAAGGCCTGCACTGGGGCCAGTCATAACCTCATTATCTTAGTCTTGGAGCTCTCACTTCTCTGGTCCGGCTGGATGAGCCTACGGACTTGCAGGAGCAGGGTAGGAAAGATCTAACACTTGCTAATTTCTTATTTCGATTATCCGTTAAATGGCGACTATAGTAATATCTCTACCTCACCATGGGATTCTGAGCAGTGAGATAAATCGCCCTGCCCATCCCTAGTGAGAATATTCTTCCAGGGCAGGAAAGGTGTGAGCTCAACAGAGGATCAGGCGTACCCTCTGACTCATGGCATCTGCCAGCTTCTTGTATGGATGGGGACTAGCTTGTAGGAAGATGCTCATCTTCTTAGTAGGACTCAATCAAAGTGTCAGGATGCCATTCTCAAGATCAATCTGGCTTCATTTCAGTGACCTAATTCTGTATAATTTTATAAGTAATCTCACAGAAGTTTTGTATTAAAATAAAAACATGGTACTAGCTTCATTTAAATAGTTGTATGAAGTTTTTATCTTAGCCAATTTGACTCAAAGTCAACTTGTTGATTTTATTTTTGTAGGTATTGTTGTTTGGGAGATTTTTTTTTTTAAAAAACTAATAATTAATGGAAGTGTGCAGTGCTTAGAAACGTGGTTTGGAATGTTCTTTTCCAATTGATAAAGGTTTCTAGCTTTGGTTGAAAGGAGAAAATACTTTAAACGAACACTCCTGCCTCCTCTATAGCTATGAACACTTGTTCTCAGTACTCTGGCTTCAGAAGTGCAGGTTGTATGGGCCAAGCTGAGTTCTTATTTGACCAAATGCTTGAAATATTTTCCCCTTTAGGGCAACAAGGACGTTGAGTCTTCAAGCCAGGTGTGTTGCTCTGGAACAGGCTGGAAAGACACCAGCTTTCCCACTTGTCTCCATTTTGTGTTCTAGAAAGTACCTCAGAAAATTCTTAATAATCTCCTAACTTGGACCACTCTAAAGCATCTTGAACACTATTTCAAATAGTGTAAACCTGTTGATCACCAAGGATTTTGCAATGCCTTAAAAAAAAAAAAAAAAGGTAGCTTTTCTCTAAGAAAGACATTACTCAAAATAATTTCCAGCTTCATCATTGTAATCTTCAAGGGTGCATATTGATTTTAATAACTTTTGAAAAATAGTTTTTTGATGCAACAAAAAGTAGAAGCTCTCTCTCCCAATTATTAAGGACCTTTCAGTGTCAATTGACGTCACTAAGTAAATGACACAGTAGTGCAGTTCTCTCAGGTATCCTGTGCTAGAACATGGACAACTCACTCAATAGCAGAAAAAGCACAATTCAAACTGTTGAACTTGAATATTTATTTATCTTAACTTTTGTGAGCCTCGGTTTCATCATATGAGCTATGGAAATATTTACGGACATCTCCAAATTATTGTTAAAAAGTTTTAGAAAATATTTAAGTAAAGCATTATAAAAACATCTGATACATAAAACAAGACCAGAACAAACCCATTGCCATTGAGTTGATTCCAACTCACTGGCCCTATAGGACAGAGTAGACCTGCTCCGTAGGGTTTCCAAGAAGCAGCTGGTGGATTCGAACTGCCCACCTTTTGGTTAGCAGGCATAACTCGTAACCACTGCACCACCAGGGCTCCAAGGAATCTAAAAAATGTTAGTTATGTTTTTCCTTCACTTTTGAACATAATTCCTAGCTCACAGACAATGAAATAATTTAGAATATCTGATAAAAAGAAACATAAACTGCACTAATAGTTTGTAGATTTTGTTTCTGTGGATTTTTAATTGTGATTTTATTTGAAATAATGAGAGTAGTTAAAATAATTACTTTAACAATTCTATAATGCCATCAACCCTCTTTGACTTAGATAAAAGTCATTACAGCACATGTTTGGGATGCATGAAGGAAAAAAAGCAGAGAACACTTCTGATACAGCAGTTGATTTTGCTGCTGTAAATGAGGATGCATATGATTTTGTACTGGGATTCCAAAGAGCCCTTTAAGCAGAGTTAGTACTGCTCCAGGGTGTAAGTTGGATGCAGTTACCCATCAATAGTGTTTGGAGAAAAGGACATGGACGTGAACAGCTTGACATTGTCCAACATCCTCAAGGCCACCACAACCATCACCACCCTCAAGTGTTATATTTGGATAGTGATAAAGTGGGTAACATACAATAAAAAGGAGCTATACTAGCTGCAAGGAGCCCTGGCAGTGCAGTGGTTAAAGCACTCAGCTGCTAACCGAAAGATTGGCGGGTGGAACCCATCAGCCACTCCACAGGAGAAAGATGTGACAATCTGCTTCCGTAAAGATTACAGCCTTGGAAATCCTATGAGGCAGTACTACTCTGTCCTTCAGGGTTGCTGTGAGTCAGAATCTACTTGATAGCAACAGGTTATGCTAGCTGCAGGAGCCCTGGTTGCACGGTGGTTACAGTGCTCAGCTGCTAACCAAAAGGTCAATGGTTCTAACCCACCAGCCGCTCCACAGGAGAAAATTGTGGCAGTCTGCTTCCAAAGGGATTACAGCCTTGGAAACCCTATGGAGTAGTGCTACTCTGTCTTATACGGTCACTATGAGTCTGAATCGACCCAAAGGCAATGAGTTTGATTTTGGTTTTATACTAGCTGGAAACCCTGGTGGCACAGTGCGTAAGAGCTATGGCTGCTAACCAAAAGGTCGGCACTTTGAATCCACCAGGCGCTCTTTGGAAACCGTATGAGGCAGTTCTATTCTATCCTATAGAGTCGCTATGAGTTGGAATCAACTGGATGGCAATGGGTCTGGTTTTGTTTTTTTTTTATGAATCTGAATTGACCTGAAGGCAACGGGTTTGGTTTTGGTTGTATACTAGTTGAGAAACAAAACAAAAAAACTTCTCAGGACTATGACAATTATATTACTCATTATATTCTTCTTACCCTAATGTACAAATACAGGTTTTTTAAAACCGCACTGAATAGAAAAGCAAAAAAAAAAAATCTAGATAAACAAAAAAAAAACCTTGCGGCACAGTGGTTAAGTGCTTGGCTGCTAATCGAAAGGTCAGTGGTTCAAATCTACCAGCCACTTCGCAGGATAAAGATGTGGCAATCTGCTTCCGTAAAGATTACAGCCTAGGAAACCCTATGGGGCAGTTCTGGTCTGTCCTATAGTATCTCTATGAGTCGGAATCGACTCAGCGGCATTGGGTTTGGTTTGGGTTTTTGGTTAGTTTTCACCGTATCCTCTGGCATACGAAATACGCTGTACTGGAGAGAGTATACAAAGTGAGAAATACAACAAGAGATTGGGAGTTGAAGAGTGAGAGATGGAGAGAAAAGAAAACCGAAACAACGTGGTATCACAGAAGGCAAGCTATAAGAATTGGTAAAAGAAACGTCCAATGAGGCAAGAGCATCTAATTGCCTTGCTGCTTTATCTTTCTGTAATTTCCATTTTTCCTTTCTCTTAGACATAACTTTGGAAATTACCATAACTTCAGATATATTTCAAGGATCTCCTTCATAGCTTTTAAGTCCTTCTATACCAATTGGGGAACTGCGTGTGTATTAAAGTTATACTAGTTTGATTATTAAGATTCAAACAATTAGCAAAATCAGTATGTTACCAGAAATACTGCATAGCTGACAATAGCACGTTGAAGACAAATGGTTTTTCACTTTTTAAAGATTTTGAAATTTGTCTGTTTTTTTCTCACCAAACACTAAAATGAAATTTTCTGAGATGGCCCGCTCAGTTCTGCCTTAACTGATGGCTAAAGGAGTAGTGGAAAGGGCGGTGGTGGTTCGGTGGTAGAATTCTGGTGGTTTGTGATTAAGAACTCTGCTGCTAACCAAAAGGTTGGCAGTTCAGATCCACCAGTTGCTCCTTGGAAGCCCTATGGGGCAGTTCTGTTCTGTCCTATAGGGTCCCTATGAGTCGGAATCAACTCGACAGCAACGGGTATGCCAAAGACCCTGGTTCGATCCCTGACCAGTGCACATCAAGCACAGACACCACTTATCTGTCAGCGGAGGCTTGCCTGTTGCTATTTGCTGATCAGATATCAGGGGAGCTTCCAGACTAAGATGGACTAGGAAGAAAGGCCTGACAATATACCTCCTTAAATCAGCCAGTGAAAATCCTATGGATCATAACAGTCTGATTATGGGGATGGTGCAGGACCAGGCAGCATTTTGTTCTGTTGAGAATGGGGTCCCCATGAGTCAGGAGCCAACTGGACGGTAGCTAACAATAACAACAAAGGATTAATGCGAGTACTATCCTGAGAGATGTATACCAGGTGTTGAGTCTGCTCTGAAATGGTCCATTGATACCCCCTACTTTCTACAGACATTTTAAATACTTTAAGATGTCCAGGAGATGTTTAGTCTCTTAAACAGCTTATCATCTGGGAGATTTTATGATTGAACTAGTCATAGTATTTCTTTCTCCCACTCCATTTATTTCTGCAGATGTTTAATTCTAAACTAGAACTAAGTTCTGGTACTCTATGTGCCATCAAACTGGCCTCAGTGGCTAAATGGGTTCACGTTCTTTTTTATTCACCCAATATTTAGTGTGTATTAACTGGAGCAATCTTTGAAAGCTGTTTTCTTTTGGATTGGGAGCCTGAATAATTAGTTCAAAGTGGTGCAAAGCACTTGCATAATACTTGGTAAACAGTATGAGGATTATCTTTCAGGGATTTTGTTTCTCCAAAGTTTGGTGTGCAAGGATTGGGACTAAAACAGAACAAGACAAACAGGTAGATATTGTGGGTGTTCTGGGCGTTAGCCATTTCAGGGGCTGAGAACGCTTAGTAAGTGGAAGCAATTCTAAAACCAAAGCATACAGAACTCCCATCACACCAGGCGTGTAGAGGCCTTTGCTCAATGACTCAGTCCACATTTCTACACTCTCAAATTCCCTATTTCCCTTTCCAGATATGAAATTAAATTATATATATTACCTGAATTATTCTTATAACAAAAAGTAAAATTATGAAAAACAGTTTGAGGGGGTTTCCAGGTAATTTCTTCTTCAGTTACGTTTGCTTCCTTTGGACAAGAAAGATTCATAGGTTTTCCTGGAGCTGTTTAAAAACATCAGAATATAGAATGTGAAAAAACATGACAGGAAGAGAACATTCTTTTAGAAGTATGCATTGTTAATAGTCAGGTTTTGATTAAGCATTAATTAATAATTAAATTAAAAGGAAGACCTCTGAGCTTACTGAGTTTGCTTTAGAAGCCCTTTGAGCAGAGTAAATGTCACTCTAGACTGGCAATATGTAACCGAAGGGGTCCACAGACTTAAAGATATCTGAGAATTCCCCCTTTTTTTTTTTTAAATAAATTATTGCCCAGATATCCTAGATTTCTGGATTTTGCTATGCTGAAAATCTGGCATTTGTAGCACTGATAAGTATAGCAGTCATTAATTGGAGTAGCACTTTCAATGGAGCCAGTAACTAGTCATCAGAACCTCAGATGAAGACTGTAAGAAATATAAATATATGCATCCATGTAACTACCACCACAATCAAGATACAGAACATTTCTATTATCCCAAATGTTTGGCTTTGCCACTTCCCAGCCAACTCATCCCTCAAGTCCAACCCCACACAGCCTCAGATCTGCTTTCTGTTACTATAAACTTCTCTTTTCATTCATTTCACGTGAACTCAATTAAACAGTAAGCACTTTTTTTATGTCTAGTATATTATACTTAGGATAATGTTTTAGACATTCATTCATGTCGTTGCGTGCTCATTTTTATTTCTGAGTAGTAGTCCACTGTAAGAATTTACCACATTTTATCTATTCATCTATCATTGGATGGACATTTAAGTTGTTCCCAAGATTTTTACTACCATGAATAAATCTGCTATAAACACGTGTAGAAGTTTTTGTAGGGACATGTTCATTTCTCTTTGGTAAATACCTGAAGTGAAATTGCTAGACCATTGCTTCACAGCCTCAAAAATAGTGTTGTCAGTCTTTTTAATTTTAGCCATCTCAGTAGGTGTATAATGTCGTCATCATCTCATTGTGCTTCTAATTTGCATTTCCTAGATGACTCATGATGTTGAGCATCATTCCATGTGCTTATTGGGCCATTTGCGTACCTTCTGTTGTGAAGTATATGCTCAAAATGGTTTGCTTGGTGTTAAGTGCGTTGTTTGATTACTTATTATGTAGTTGCAAGGGGTCTCTGTTTATTCTGGAAAAACTTCCTTTGTTGGAAAATTAATTTTGGATATTTTCTCACAATTTATGACTTGCGTTTTTATTTCCTTCATTGACTATTCGAAGAGGAGATATTTTTAACTTTGATTAAGTATAATTTATCAAATATTTTCTTTTATGATTCTTGCTTTGTATGTCCTAAGACATCTTTGCCAATATTAAAGTCAAAAAAATGTTTTCTCCTATGACTTCATCTAGAAATGTTATAGTTTTAGCTATAACATTTAGCATTTGCAATCCATTTCAAGTTAATTTTTGTGTTCCATGTGAGGTGAGAGTTGATGTTCATTTTCTTCTTTAGGGATAACCAGGACCATTTGTTTAAATAACTATCCTTTTCACCACTAAATTACCTTTGCACTTTATAACAAATAAATATAAATACATGTATTTTCCTGGGACTTCTATTTTGCTGCATTAACTTATAAAGACTGAAACAATTTCAGTATTTAACATTCAAAATATATTAAATTCGTCTACTTATGCCAAGGGCATAGTTTTTATATAGTTTTATTTGCTCTTCTTGTGGTTTTGTATTGCTTTGGAAGGTTATGGGGAGGTATATATTTAGGCAGTCTCTTACTACTCAACTATTCCTTCCATATTAACTTTAGAATCACTTTAGTAGGATCTGTCAAAAATACTGTTATGTTAGAATTGATAAATGAGTTCAGCAATCTTGCCTCCATTCTCCCAAACGGTATTGTTTTCCAACTGTTATTATTATCTTGCTATTTCTGTTGTGAGCATTTTGTCTAGGGATGGGGGTTTGGGAGGAAATGGGAAGTGACTGCTAAGAGACACAGGGTTTCTTTTCAGTAGTATTAATAGTAATAGTACTTATAATAGTAAAAGTAAATAATGTAACAGAATTATTATATAATGGTAAAAGTAACTATAGTATTAATATAGTATAAGCATAAATATAAAATATAGTATTAAAATAAAGTGTAATTATAATAGTAATAATAATGACAATTTTCCCATCAGTACTTTGATTGATTTACCTGTAAATCTAACTTCTTTGCCCACTTTTATTTCTTGCATTCCAGTACTGTTTTCCAGATTAATTTATTGGCTTAAGAAAAAGTGTTTAATCATTCCTACATTAACAATGATCTGTGAGAGGTGAACTTTTGAGTCTTCATATGTCTGGAAGTGTTTTCATTTCATTTGTGTGCTTGATTTTTAGCTTTGCTGTTCATTTTGCAATCTATGGACACATTTATTTCCACTCCAGAGACTGAAGGCATATCAGTGTCTTCTGTCATTGTGATGGTCGCACAACATGATTGATATAATTGACCTCATTGAATTGTATACATGAAAATAGTTGAACTGGCAAATGTGGTGTTATCTATATTTTTGCAATAATAATACAAAGAAAAAGAAAATCTGATATAGCCTAATATTCATTATTTTGTACATAATCTAACTTTCGTTCTATGTTACCTTAAAAGATTTTCTTGTTATCCTTAAAATTCTGAAGTGTTGTTGTTGTTAGTTGCCATTGAGTTGGTTCCGACTCATGGTGACCTATGTGTACCCGAACAGAACACCTGATCCTGTACCATCTTTATGATTGTCGGTATGTTTGAGTCCATTGTTTCAAATTTGGTCTCAATCCATCTCAGTGAAGATTGCCCTCATTTTCACTAACCTTGTACTTTACCAACCATGATGTCTTTTTCCAGCAATTGCTCTTTCCTGATGTGCCTTATCAGGTTATTTGGTTTTTTCTTCATTTTTGTTTTGTTTGTTGTGGTAGGCAGACTTCTAAAAATAGGCCCCAAAATTCCACACCCTAGCCCTGGAAACTGTGAATATGATAAGATATCACTCCCCTGATTGTGTTATGTCACATGGTACAATTGAACTTAAGATAAGGAGATTATCCAGGTGAGCCTAACCTAAACACATGAGACCCCTTAAAAATCAGGGTTTTTTTCTGGCTGGTGACAAAAGAGGTGAAGCTTAAGAAGGGCACAGTGTGCCATTGCTAGCTTGCAGATGGAAGGGGTCCACACAGAAAGAATTGTGGCCTTTAGGAATAGAGAGTGGTCCCTGACTGATAGCCAGCAAGAAAAGAGGGACCTAAGACCTACAGCCAATAACAGGATTGAGCTCCAGATGAGAACCTCAGCCCCGACTGTCACCTTGATTTCAGCCTGGTGACACCCCTAGCAGAGAATCCAGGCACACTGTGCCAGAATTCTGACCTACAGAACAGTGAGCTAATAAGGAGGTGTTGTTTTTGAGTTGCTAAGTTTGTGGCAATTTGTTATGCAGCAATCAAAAACTAATAGTCTGTTTGATTTGTTTGATTTTGTTGAGATCTCTATAGGATTCTCTTAGTCAAAGGAGTCATGTATGTGTTCATCCCTGGGGCATTTTTAGCTAATATATTTTTGTTTCCATTCCTGTTCCATCACATATGCATTCCTTGTTTGTGGACTGCTTATTAGATCTATGTTGAGAGTTTGAATCTTGACAACTCCCAACATTTTCTTCAGATTCTCTTAATTTTACTTTGTTCAGTTTAGGGAAGAGCCCTAGTGGCGCAGTGGCTAAGCGCTTGGCTACTAACCAAGAGGTCAGTGTTTCAAACTCACTAGCCACTCCATGGGGCAGTCTGCTTCCAGAAAGATTATAGCCTTGGGAGAAGGCTCAGGGCGGAGCCAAGATGGCAGACTAGTCAGATGCACTAAGCCATTCTGATGCAACAAAGACCCCAAAAAAACAAGTAAAACAGATGCAGACGTCAATCCTAGAACCTGAACCTTAAATGAAGGGATAAAGTATTAGATAGGAAGCCACTGAGAAGAAGAAACTGATAGAAAATGGTAAAGGAGTAGAGATATGGAGTGGAGGTTTCCAGCCAAATAGCATGACTCAGCATGGCCATCTTGGAATAAAGCCAACGACCCTACATGCAGAAAGGCACCTCCTTGGAATTCTTAATAGGAGATAGAGATAAGGTACAGACACCCAGGACTAAGTAAGACCATGTTTGCTGGTCAAGGAGGAGCCCAGACTTACTGGTAACCACAAGAGTACACTCTTACAATCCCCATCCCTCTGGTGAACAGCAGCAAAAACTACCCCATCTAGGCAGCCCCAATTGCTGGGAACCACAGTAAAACCCAGCCTACTGCCCTTCTCCATCTAGCCTCCTCTGCCGCTGTTTTCGCACACCCTCTTGCCTTTCTCCTAGCCTGGCCGGCTGGACACCAGATCCCTCTCCACTGGCTCAGCCCCCACCTCAGAGCACTCCACGGTCCCGAAGAGAACCAGCCCAGATCCCAGACCCCTCCCTGCCAGCTCAGCCCCAAGGGTAACTGGCCTGCCCCACAGCAGGCCCCACTACAGTCCTCAGCCATGGCCCAATTCACACCGAAGAGAAATGTCCCATCTCTGCAACTTCTCCCCTGCTGGACCTGCCCTGCTGCACCATAGCTGAGTGACTGCCTTTGCCCATTTGGCCAAAGTAATGAGGACTGTTATGCCCATACAGGAGCAAGCAAAAAGCACATCCAGCCTACCTTCCCAGACTTAACCAAACAAAACAAAAAAGCAGGATGAAACAAACAAACCTACAATCAATAAAGGAAGAAAATAATACCTGAATATCTCGGAGACAGCAGACAATATCAAAACATATAAAAAACAGGACAATATGGCTCCAGTAAGTTACCAAAATAAACAACCAGATGACCTTCTGGCAGAAAAAAAAGCACAGGGACTACCTAATAGCAAATTCAAAAGTCTAATATTCAGAGCTCTCCAAGAGATTAGAAAGGAGATCAAGGAAAACACAGAAAAAAGCATGGAAAACACAAACAAA